TCTCACTGCTCTGAGAGCCTGGAGATGCGCCTGTAACGAGGGTGGATGGGGGAACATGGTAGGATCAAAATCACAGAAAGAGGATGCCGGTGGTGGGCTCCCATATAATATTTCAAAGGGAGTCAGCCCATGATATGCAGGAGTGTTGCGCACTCGAAAAAGGGCCATAGGGAGGAGTCGTACCCAGTCTTTTCCGCCAGTCTCTAGGGCTAATTTAGTCAAGGTCTCTTTTAGAGTTCTATTCATTCTTTCTACCTGGCCTGAACTCTGGGGTCGATAAGCACAATGTAGTTTCCAATGAATCCCCAAACTCTTGGCCACCCCCTGACTTACCTGGGAGGCGAAAGCGGGACCGTTATCTGACCCTAATACTTGCGGCAATCCGTACCGGGGAAAAATTTCTTCAAGGAGTTTTTTTAACGACTGTCGTGGCCGTTTCATTCTTCGTGGGGTAGGCTTCTACCCAGCCTGAAAAGGTGTCTACAAAAACTAAGAGATATTTATAACCATACAGTCCCGGTTTTACTTCAGTAAAGTCTATTTCCCATTGTATTCCCGGTCGGTGTCCTCGGGCACGGGCTCCTTGGGGGAGTTTTAGTCGCCCTGCGTTTACCTGGGCACAAGGCTTGCATTGGTCCACTGTAATTTGAGTAAGAAACTGCAGGTCAGGAGTTATAAACGGGCATTTCTCATTTGCAAGTAGAGCGTGCATTTTTCTCCGGCTCAAATGAGTGAGGCGGTGGAGGTGTTCAATGATTTCAGTAGCTATGCGATAGGGCAGGATGACCTTGTCTCCTTTTCTCCATGCTTTGCACTTAGCATCCCACTCCCCTTCGAGTTTTTTAATGAGAGCTCTGTCATTATCAGTATATTTAAATGGAACTCCCCAGTTGCAGACTATGTCATCTGTGTTTTGCCTGGTCTCTTCGGGTCCCATTTTTGAGTTTATTTCCAGGGGTAGGGCTGAGATTGGCTCAGTGGCAACAGTTTTTGCAGTCTGGTCTGCCAGTCTATTTCCTCTAGCTACTGGATCTGTTCCTTTTTGGTGGCCCGGACAATGAATAATGCTCAGTCTTTTTGGAAGGAATAGTGCCCTTAAGAGGTTTATTATCTCTTGCTTGTTCTTTATTTCTCGTCCTCCTGAAGTTAAGAGGCCCCTTCTGCGATAAATCTCACCGTGCACATGGGCCGTAGCAAAAGCATACCTACTGTCAGTATAGATGTTTGCTACTTTTCCCGCCGCCAGTTCTAGAGCCTTTGTGAGGGCTATTAGTTCAGCTCGCTGGGCCGACGTCCCTGGCTCTAGGGCACTGGCCCAGACTATGGAGTCATTGTTACTCACCACTGCTGCTCCTGCCCGCCGAGTTCCCTCGGTGACATAGCTGCTGCCATCTGTGAACCAGGTTACCTCCGCGTCTGGTAGAGGCTGGTCAGTTAGATCTTCACGAGTCCCATGAACTTCGGCCAGAATCTGGGAGCAGTCATGGGGGGCATCCTTGGCCGTTCCCGGCTCCGGCAATAGGGAAGCGGGATTGAGCGTAGCAACTGGTCCAAAAGTAATGCGTTCAGGAGCTAAGAGCAAAGCCTGGTAGTGAGTCATGCGGGCGTTTGAAAGCCACCTGTCTGGCGGTTGGCGGACAACCGACTCCACAGCATGTGGAGCTATTATTGTGACTTTCTGTCCCAGGGTTAGTTTGTTTGCGTCCCTGAGCAGGGTCGCAATAGCTGCTACCATGCGCAGGCAAGGGGGCCACCCTGAGGCCACTGGATCTAGTTTCTTTGAAAGGTAGGCAACCGGTCGTCTCCAAGGGCCTAGGGACTGAGTCAATACTCCTTTTGTAATTCCTTTGGCCTTATCCACATACAGTGTGAATGGTTTTGTGACATCAGGCAGTCCCAGGGCCGGTGCCGTTAGGAGGGCCTCTTTAATGCAATCAAAAGCCCGTTGTTGTTCTTTTCCCCAGATGAAGGAGTTTTTTTTTCCTTCGTTAACATGTACAAGGGAGCGGCCAGCTCCGCAAACCCAGGTATCCACAGCCGGCAGAATCCTGTCGTTCCCAGAAACTCACGTACCTGTCGGGAGTTCCTTGGGACTGGTATAGACGCCACCGCAGCTTTCCTGGCTTCAGTTAACCATCTTTTTCCTCCCTTTATGACATATCCTAGGTAGGTTACCTCCTCTCTGCATATCTGGGCTTTCTTGGCAGATGCCCGATATCCTAGGGCTCTCAATTCACGTAACAGGGCCCTTGTCCCTTCTAGGCAGGCCTCTCTGGTAGGTGCTGCCAGCAAGAGATCATCTACATATTGGAGGAGAGTCAGATTGGGGTTATTTAATCTGAATGCCACCAAGTCTTGATGTAGGGCCTCATCAAAGATGGTGGGGGAATTTTTGAAGCCTTGTGGCAATCGAGTCCAAGTCAGTTGCCTACTTACTCCATGTTCCGGATCTCTCCATTCAAAAGCAAATAAAGGTTGGCTCGCCGGGCTCAGTCTGTAGCTAAGTCGACCCGCCGATCAGTCGTCCACCGGTACGCGCGTCCTCCTGTGGCTCCCTGTACCCACGAGGTCTTCTGGCTCATAGGTCCATCAGTAGTTGTCAAAACTGAATGTTGAGCCCCGGTGTCTACTAGAAACGTGGTGGGCTTGCCTCCCACAGACAGAGTTAGCCTGGGCTCAGGGGGAGGCTCCTGGCCCCGACTGGCCTAGTCTTCTAAAGTCAAAACTGAGGTCTGCCTTTTCTTGTTTCTAGGATTGTTGGGACAATCCTTTGCCCAATGGCCGTTTTCTTTACAGTAAGCACATTGATCTTTCCCTAAACGGTTTCGCCGCTCACCTCCCTGTTCCTTAAACTGTCTCCCTATCTCAGTTCCCTGGGATGTTATTTGCTTGTTATGAACTACAGTGGCCAAGATACGGCTCAGTTCTTTATTCCGTCGCTTATCTCTCTTATTCTCTCTTTCTTCCTGCATCTTTCTTAGTCTCTCTTCTCTCTCTCCCGGAGTCTCTCTCTTATTGAAAATTTTATCTGCCTCTTTTACTAAGTCCTGCAAGCTATAATTCTGCAATCCTTCTAGTCTTTGTAACTTATTTCGAATGTCTGGTGCCGACTGTCCTATGAAAGCCATAATCACTTCCCCCTGTTTATCTTCACTTGCCGGATCAAACGGTGTATACATGCGGTATGCTTCCATTAGTCTTTTTAAGAATCCCGCGGGAGTCTCCCCAGCTCCCTGTAGAACTGCTCTTACCTTAGCCAAATTAGTGGGTCGCCTTCCGGCACCCTTGAGACCTGCCAACAGAGTCTGGCGATAAAGACGGAGACGCTCCCTACCATTTGGAGTGTTGAAGTCCCAATTAGGTCGGACAAGGGGAACACTTCATCAATTTCGTTTGGAAGTTGGGTGGGCTGCCCATCAGCCCGAAGGACATTCTTTCTGGCCTCCATCAGCACCCGTTGGACTTCTTCTGTGGTCAGTAGAGTCCGTAACAGCTGCTGACAATCATCCCAAGTCGGCTGGTGCGTCAACAAGATGGACTCGATGAGACCTGTTAATGCTTGGGGGTCTTGGGAGAAAGGAGGGTTATGAGTTTTCCAATTATACAAATCAGAGGCAGAGAAAGGCCAATACTGGACCTGCCCCCCTACAATTCTCAAGGGGTACAATTGTGAAGACCATTGCCCTTCTCCTCTTTCTCCCTCCTTTAATTGAGCCCTGCGTAGCCGCAACCTGGTATGGATTGGGGATCTGGCTTCAGGCTGTTCATTTACAGTGGTGTCTGGAGAGCCCATCTCCCCCGGTCTTCCTCTTGGGGGTTCTCCTTCAGGTTGATGCTCCTGGGGATAAGGTGGAGGAAGTTCAGAGGTCATTAATAGGTCCATCTGACTATCATCAGGCAGGACAGGCTTAGGTCGAGGACGAGTAGCTTCCAGCGGACAGAGGGAAACAAGAGCAGAGGGTTGGGGTTGGGGCAGAGCTGAAGGCGCCGGCAATTCTGGAGAAGGAGGAGGAGGAGGACAGGGTGCGATGAGAAAAGGTTGAGCCCACGGCGGGGGATTAACCACGAGGTCCTCCCATACCAAGATATACGGTAACTGGTCGGGATGCCCCGATGGTTTTGTCTCTACAGCCCTAAACTCCAGCCACTCTTCACACTGCAGGACAGGTTTATAGCAAAGCAATGCAGACTAAGCTTGGTCTAAACACACAGGAACCAGCAGCCAGGACCCAAGGGCTGCAGGCAAGACACTTTCGGCATCACCAGTTGTAGACCCTCTCAGAACAAACTAAATCTTTTACTGGGTGGCCCCCAGGAAACTTACAAGAGGTCATTAATACTATAAATACTATGAACAAGAGTTTTTACACAGCACATTGAATATCATCTGGCTTGTTACAAAAGTTATCTGTAGACTCTAGGCGTGCTGGGAGCAGGAGCCCCCGGAGCCTGCCTGTGGGGATTTGCATGGGGCTGGCTGGGAGGGCAGAGGCGAGGAGGGCACAGGGAGGCCTGGGGTTCCCGGCCTGTCTACTCCCACAGCCAGTCCCTCAGAGAGAATGAAACAGGAGGAGGATCCTATCAAAGTCTTCTTGGGTCAATCTGCTGACCTCTGGGCAGCCGCAGCTGGTACCTGTGCCGGGCAAAGGGAAAACCAGGGACGGATCCATGGGGGGATTCTGAGACAGATTTCAAACCAGGATAAGGCTGCTGATCAGGGTGGCCTTTTGGACCTGTTGGAAAAACAATCCTTTAAACTGTTTGGATGATAAGAGCCTCCTTTCGGCCAGCCCAGGTTGAAAACGGGGCCCTTCTGCAGAGCAGAAAGTCTGTCAAGATTTTTTCTTAACCGGGAGGGAGAGGTCGTGAGTCCTGTCCTTATCTTCAGTCCAATGGTCAAGAGTCAAACTAAGGGGAATCGTCACAGTCTGTTCCATAATTAAAGACAAAAGACCACACACAATAATTACAAAACAAATGACACAAACAGGATTCGCGCGATGCAAGATTTCCTAAGGGCCCGATACAAAATACAAGAAGGTCGACCGTACAAAGCCAGACGAGGGTGAAGTGATCTTCACCCCGTCTCCCAGGCACCGGAGCGTCCCCCGGCGTACAAGACCAGACGAGGGTGAAGATCTTCACCCCGTCTGCAAGGCACCGGAGCGTCCCCCGGCGTACAAGATCAAACCGGTACCGTTCAAAGACTGGGGGGGGACAAGGACAGTACAGAACAACACAAAAACAAAAAACACACTTTCCGATCGGTCTTACCTCCCTCTGCGAGAGTTGTTTGCTGAAGACGGTCGCTCCATTCCCGGCCAATGCACCAAAATGTTAGACTCAGGGAGAGTCCAACCCCGTGGAGGGGAGTCACACCGTCATTGGCAAAACAAGTCAAACGCAGAGGCTGCAATAAGCATGAGGATTTTATTGAACATTCGCGAATGGGCAACAGAGTCTCTGGAGGCATCCAGGACTCTGTGCGCCCCAAGCAGGTTAAAGCACCTTTTTAAAGGACAAAACTGCAAACTTCGCATAACAGCTGGCATTTTACTTTAAGATTAGAATCTCTTTTATTCCTGCAGCTGCCTGCTCCGGCCTTGCTACCTTATCTCTTTTATTCCTGCAGCTGCCTTGTTCATGTCTGGGAAACTGAAACTTTTACTTCCTTCATGAAATAGCTTTTCTATATTTATTCCAACATGGCTCTACTCTTGCTCAGCAGAAAGCAATATACAGAAGCAAAATCAAGCGGTTATTCTAAGCTCTTACAGGCTGAGCTCACAGCCAGGCAGGTGGGGTCCCAGAGCAAGGCCCCACCCTGTGAGCACCCACCCTTGAGGGTTCTGTGTGGGGGGTGCTCTTGGGAAGGCTGTTAGTTCCGCAGAGCAGTGCCCACAGGTGCACCTGGGGCCCTGGTGCTGCATGCTGGTGCGGGGTCAGCCCTGAAGGTCGGGGCTCTGGCCAGTGTGGCAGGAGGCTGCAGGGTCTTCCCTGTGTCCGGCAGGGTCGGTGGGGCCTCTGGATCTGCGGGGCGGGGCCGCTAGGGAATGCTTTCCCTGGACTGGCTTCTGTTAGGGGAGGGGATGCAAGAGAGAATTTGAAGGTTTATTTTTAGATTTGAAAAAGTTACAGAGAGAATGGAAAAAGAGAGACAAAAAAAATCTTGTATCCACTGGTTCACTCTCCAGGAGACCCCAACGGCCAAGGCTGAGCCAGGCTGGCGCCAAGGGCATCTTCCGGTCTCCCACATGCGTGCTGGGGACCCAAGGACTGGGACCAGCCTCTGCTGCTTCCCAAGCCAGCAGCACAGAGCTGGATCCGAAGTGGAGCAGCCAAGCCACTAACCAGCCCCCAAATCCAACATTCTAATGAAAAGTTGAATCGAAATCAGAACGACTCTGTAGGGAACATCTTGGCTCCACTGCGTGGCGTGTCTCCCCTTCTCCCCAGGTGGTCCCCGGAGATGGCAGATGCTCAGCCGTTCCCCAGCCCCACAGGCGACCTCGACCGCGATGCCCTCCGGGAACTCCGGCTCCCTCGGCTGCATTCCTGGAAGAAGAGCCTCCTGAGATCCAAGGTCTGGCAGTATTTGTTTAAGTCTGTGTACAGTGGATACCCTCACCGCCCAAGAAGGGGCCTTCACTGCTGTTGAAGCCAGTGTGGCCCAGGCTGGTCACTGGCCCGGCCGTATGCTCCCCTGGGACGTTGGCCTAGGTAGCACCCTGGGAGGCGGGTAGAGGGCTGAGAGGAAGAGAGGCCGAGAGCAGTCGTCCTGGGGCCTCGTAAGACATTGTCTCCTTAGGAGGCATGGCTTGGTGACCCTGTCGCGGACAGCCGGTGGGGGAGCCTGGGTGACCCTGTCGCGGACAGCCGGTGGGAGAGCCTGGGTGGCCCTGTCGCGGACAGCCGGTGGGAGAGCCTGGGTGACCCTGTCGCGGACAGCCGGTGGGAGAGCCTGGGCACTGAGGGATCCCATGTGGAAGCTAGTCTCCTGTATTCCCTGGCCAAAAGGCATTTTCCCCAAACATAGGCGAGTTTCTTTAGTAACTGCCTTGCTGATGGTATACTTGCAAACTGAAAACGGCCCCTGTCATTTCCAGCATATTCCAGGCTCTTCCTGAATAAGGGAGTGTTGGCTTCCCAGTTTTAGCACAAGTTTTTTTGTTTTTGTTTTTTGCATTCATTTTAATGTATTCCTAAAAGTCCAAGGAATGATTAACGTATATATTTGGAAAAAATGAACAGCAGTTCACCAAGTCACAGTGAGTGCCCCCCAAACGGAGCCGCCCCACCCCCCCCACCCCCACGGGAGCTGCCCACTCCCTCCCGTGGGAACAGAGAAAGCTGGCAAGAAGCTGCTGGAGCTACGGTGAGCCTCAGGGAGCCAGCTCATGCACAGTGTCCCCAGCTAGTGCCTCCGTGGGCCCAGGCACCAGTGGGAATGGCCGGTGCCACACGGGATGGCACCATGCCCCCGGGAAAAGCCAACCTTAGCAAAAGCTGGCCAGACTAGCAGATATAAAAGTGAATAACAAGAAATGGCGTGGGCTGATAGGGACGCGCAGGTGCCCTGAAGCAGAGGGGCTCGCGGGGCTGGGTGCCTGGGAGAACCAACCTCGGCTCCTCCCTTTTGTTTAATGACTCCATGTTGAAAGAGCATTGTTTGGCTTCACCAAACATCCTCCAGCAGCTAGATGTAGCCGTGAGAGGTGTTTATTTGTTTTTAAGATTTATTTCTTTAAAGCAAAGTTACAGAGGGAAGGGGTGGGGTCAGGGCTCGCTAGGCCAAAGCAAGAAAGCTGGAACTCCACCTGGGTCTCCCAAGCTCGGGGCCAACCTTCCATTGCTTTCCCGGCTGCCTTAGTGCAAGCTGGATTCCAAGTGGAGCAGCTGGAAGTGGAAGCAGTGTCCCACGGGAGGCTGGTGTCACAGGTGCAGGCCCCAGCGTTTCTTGGTTTTCTTTGTTTTTGCTTGCAGGTTTTTAATTCGTTGTGCAAACAACATCTTACTAAGGCAGTTTTAGGAAGAATTTTATAAAATTTGAATTCATTAATATACACAAAAATGAACAGGCGCTGGTCCCCACTGCTGGCTCCCAGTTCGAACAGTTATCAAACATTTGCCAATTTGTCTCATAGTCTCCCCCACCCACACTCCTTTCACGGCGTGGGGGGCAGAGCATGTTCCAGAAAATACCTGCTGTGGAGTTAGGTTTCCAGGAAGTTCTTTGAGAGTCTCCTTGATCAGGAATGAAAGGGGGGCTGCAGAGGGAGCCCAGGTTTCAGGGCGTGCTCCGCCTAACAGGTCTGGGGGAGGACTTGGCCGTGACACAGGGGTACTTTCCTGCAGTGGGGTCGGGGTCCACGCGGGGGAGCTCAGGAAGCTGTTGACCCCCGCGTGGCTGACTGTAACGTCCCGGGGAGACTGTCACAGGGAGGGCTTTGGCTCAGAGCAAGGGACAGAGCAGATGTGGCTGGCACGGCTGCAGCCTGGGCCTCAGGAGAGGATTTCCAGCAGGTGAGAGTGGGGCTCCCTGAGCTCCCCGAGTGCCTGATGTCGCAGCCACTCAGTCACGGGGGCTGGGGGTGCACTCACGGCTCCCTTGTTTTATTCTAGAATGCCATCATCACAGGCATGTACCCAGCAGGCCCCTCCAGCTGGTTCATCGTGGTGGTGGGCGTCATGTCATCCACGTACGGCAAGGTGGACCCCTCGTTGGGGATCATCGCGAAGATCAGCCGGACCCTCGGCAGAATGTAAGTACTACTTTTTAAAAAAAAATAGTCAATTTATTATAAAGAATATTTTGTTATTTTTAAAAGATTTACTATTTGACAGGCAGAGGGTCACAAAAACATCTTCCATTATTGCCTTACTCCCAAATACCTGCCGTGCCTTTCACGCTCTGCAATTCACTGAAACTGTCAGCTGTTCCCGGGTCGGCTTTCTGCTCATTTCCTGCACCTGTCAGTGACGTTGAAGGTCCCCTGGGAGTTACCAGTCCCTTGTGGCCCTTCCTCCCTGAGTATGACAAGGGGCGAGAAGAGGGACAGCCCAGGGCACCTGCTGGAAAGTGTCAGGGCCCTAGGCAGTGGCTGGAAGTGCAGTCCATGAGGCCTGCACAGAGTCCCTAAAAAGGACCAGGGTGGCCCCCAACATGGCTATCCTTTGCTTCATTCTGGGCCCCTGAGCCCATAGCTGGAATCCACTGGGCATGTTCCTGAGGGCAGCTCGGTCATGTCCAGCGCCCGTTTTCTGAGCTCCCCTGCTGTCCTGGTGGCCTGCCCTGCAGGAGCTGGCCCTGTCGCCCTACTGGGCTCTCAGGGGCAGCCCTACGCCATGCGGTGCCTGTGAGGAAGCGTCAGGAAGGGAATGGCAGGGGGCATGGAGGGAGGAGTGGAAAGCTGTGCCAGCCTTGGGCTCAGTGCTGGTCTCCTCGGGCACCGAGCCTCCCCCGAGGGCCTGCCCGACACCAGGGCAGCTTCCCAGGTGCTTTTCTCAGAGAACTGACTTAGAACCGGGCAGAACGTGACGCTTTGAGCATAGATGTGGCTCAGTGAGACCTTTTATAAGTGGCTAATTCTGATTAAGGCAGTAGTCTTAGCAAGCAATGCCTAGCCTTGCAATAGGCAGAAAGTGAGCAGCTGGGTCCCTGAAGGCAGAGCCTGGGCTCTCCCCAGCATCTTCTTAGTACAGCCAAGGAGCCCCTCATACTCTCCAAATGGGAGTCAGACAGTTTCCAGGTGAGACCCCACCTCCTGCTGTGCCCAGTGGGCAGTAGTGATCTTCCTGAAGACACAACTTAGGCATGGATCGCCCAACTTAAAACATGGCTCTGAAGACACTTCCATAGCACGGGGCAGCCGTACGGACTTGCAACGCAGCTGCCCCAGCTGAGGAGTAGACTTGGCTCCCATGCAGTCACTGCAGCCACTTGGCCCGAGCCCCGTCCCCTTCCCTAGCCCCAGCCCTAGCCCCTGGCCCAGCCTCAGCCCTAGCCCCTGGCCCCAGCCTCAGCCCTAGACCTTGGCCCCAGCCTCAGCCCTAGCCCCTGGCCCCAGCCTCAGCCCTAGCCACTGGCCCCAGCCTCAGCCCTAGCCCTGGCCAGCTCAGGACTGGGCATGGCTCCCACACAGTCATTGCAGCCGCTTGGTCCCGGCCCCGGCTAAGGAGTGGACGTGGCTCTCCTTCCTCCCCAGGGGCTACATGTCCAGCCGGACACAGAACGTGGTCAGCGGCGTGCTTTTCGGCACGGGCCTCTGGGTGACCCTCATTGTCGCCATGCGCTACTCCCTGAAGGTGCTGCTCTCCTACCACGGCTGGATGTTCGCCGAGCACGGCAAGATGGGCCGTGCCACCAGGATCTGGATGGTGAGGGGGTCTTGCTCGGGAGGAGCTGGGTGGGCGGGTCTGCGGGTCAAACAATGTTTGAGGGGGTTTCAGGAAGTTCATGATACGCAGGTTTTATGCAAACGCTGCGGATCAACTTTATAAGTTCCTGCATGAAGGCAAGCTCATCTTTTAATTCCATTTCCCCAAAATTTCCTGAAACACCTGCATATTTATGGGGTGCAATGTGGTATCTCAATAAATTTACGCAATGTACAGTAATCAGAGCGGGGTAATGGAATTCCTGTCACTGCAAACGTGCTGTTTCTTTGTGTTACCAGCACTCCTCTTTAATAATGAGGTTTTTGTATTTCGTGTGTAGTTGTATGACAATCATTTTGAAAACATATGTGAAATGGAAATACCTTTTGGAACGCGATGATTGACCCTGACACAAGACAGCCTGAGGAGGCTGTTATGTCCTAAGGATGGAGAACATTCCAGACGCCGTGTGCGAGCTATCTTGAACCAGACGATTAGCTGTGGTCACTTGTTGTGCTCCTGTGCCTGAGCAGTTCTGCCGCACTCCTGTCCTGGCTTTCAAGTTTAAAGCAGGGTCCGGGGGGAGGGGAGGGACCCTCTTCCTTTCGCTCTTGCTGTGTGAGTTCAGTCTGGAGGGGTTGGGGCACCTACTTACTGCCAAAGAGCATCTCTCTTCAGCGCTGTCAGCGAGAGCCTGGTGCTGTCTGCCGGCAGCTGGACTTCGTTCATCAGATGAGCATGTCCTCTGTCCAGCCGTCCGGAAGCGCTCCAGGGTCTCCTCAGCCTCTGCGACCCATGCCCTCACCTTGGCTCTTAGCCCAAGGCTCCCCAGTTCAAGCTTCAGCCATCTGTGGATGCTGCCCAGGGCTCACTACCCCAATGTCAGGGGCTCGGGCTTTCTGGAAGGAAAAGCCTGACCGGGATTCCGAGGCCTCCTTCTCTGACCCTCGGACACCCCAAGATCCCTGCAGGTCCTAGAGCAGAGAGTGAGGCATCTGTGCACCTGCGGTCCCTGCCTTGGGGGTTCTGGACCCACCCATGGATCTTGGGGGCCCAGCAGCTTATGAAGAACCACCTGCTCTGTTAACCTACACTGGGTGAAATGGACTAGGTGCTTTTAATGAAACTGGTTTTATTAGGATGACTTTCTTCAAATCTTTTCTCTCTAGGGGCTAGTTCACAAGCTTAGTCCACGGGAAGCAGGAATACCAGCTTTGGCCTGTTCAAGTGCCCCAGAAGTTGAACTTCCTGCAATCTTGCTCAGGGAACTTGTGTGCTGGGCCCGCTGCCCCTGCCTTCCTCAGGGTCATTCTACTCACCCCGGCCCGACATGCAACCCTGACCGCCTACACAACCCTGACCCACCACACAACCCTGATCGCCTATACAACCCTGATCACCTACACAACCCTGACCTATACAACCCTGAAGCCTACACAACCCTGATCCACCACACAACCCTGACCTCCCACACAACACTGACCCACCACACAACCCTGACCCACCACACAACCCTGATCGCCTATATAACCCTGATCACCTACACAACCCTGATCCACCACACAACCCTGACCCACCACACAACACTGACACACCACACAACCCTGACCCACCACACAACCCTGATCCACCACACAACCCTGACCCACCACACAACCCTGACCTACACAACCCTGACCCACCACACAACACTGACCCACCACACAACCCTGACGTACACAACCCTGACCCACCACACAACCCTGACCTCCCACACAACCCTGACTGCCTACACAACCCTGACCCACCACACAACCCTGATCGCCTATACAACCCTGATCACCTACACAACCCTGACCCACCACACAACCCTGACCCACCACACAACCCTGACCCACCACACAACCCTGACCGCCTACACAACCCTGACTGCCTACACAACCCTGACCCACCACACAACCCTGATCACCTATACAACCCTGACCCACCACACAACCCTGATCACCTATACAACCCTGACCCACCACACAACCCTGACCCACCACACAACCCTGATCGCCTGTACAACCCTGACCCACCACACAACCCTGACCCACCACACAACCCTGATCGCCTATACAACCCTGACCCACCATACAACCCTGACTGCCTACACAACCCTGACCCACCACACAACCCTGATCCACCACACAACCCTGACCCAACACACAACCCTGACCTACACAACCCTGAACCACCAACAACCCTGACCGCCTACACAACCCTGAACCACCACACAACCCTGATCACCTACACAACCCTAACCCACCACACAACCCTGACCCACCACACAACCCTGACCTCCCACACAACCCTGATCGCCTGTACAACCCTGACCCACCACACAACCCTGACTGCCTACACAACCCTGACCCACCACACAACCCTGATCACCTATACAACCCTGACCCACCACACAACCCTGACCCACCACACAACCCTGATCGCCTATACAACCCTGACCTCCCACACAACCCTGACTGCCTACACAACCCTGACCCACCACACAACCCTGATCACCTATACAACCCTGACCCACCACACAACCCTGATCGCCTATACAACCCTGACCCACCACACAACCCTGACCCACCACACAACCCTGACCCACCACACAACCCTGACCTACACAACCCTGACCCACCACACAACCCTGACCCACCACACAACCCTGACCTACACAACCCTAACCCACCACACAACCCTGACCGCCTACACAACCCTGATCGCCTGTACAATCCTGACCCACCACACAACCCTGAACCACCACACAACCCTGACCCACCATACAACCCTGACCCACCACACAACCCTAGCCTCACACACAACCATGGCTAACACACAATCCTGACCCACCACACAACCCTGGCCACACACACAACCCTGACTCTGTCGCACAGCTCTGAACCCAACATACAAGCCAGGAACAACACAAAACTCTGGCTCCACCACTCAACCCTGAGCCCACCACACAACCCTGGCTCTATTCTTACACAAACCAGTTGGGTCTGTTGTTTAGATGTAAGCTTTCCAGTTTGTTAAGAAGTGGCAACACTTGGAAGAGGTTCAGGACGGCTCTCCGCAGTCTGCTGGATGACTTTAGTTCTGTCCCAGAAGGCCCTATGGTTCCTGCAATGCTGAGCCAGCACTGTAGGCCTAGGCAGACCACCCTCCACACAGTGTGAGCCCAGCAGCAAATCTGTGTGGATTTGCATGAGAATTCAATTAATTAGATAGACTATACACATACTATACCTAGTATATATTCTATATTATATTTATGAGTTATTATATGTATTCTATATACTATTGGTATTAAAGTCTGGATCCTCCCACCCAAACAAGGGCCCACGGCAAACAAATGGGCTCTCCCAGAGGCCTACAGTGCCCACAGGGATCACGTGGCTTTCCCTGGCGGTGGCTTGAGGGTCAGGGGCCCCAGAGCAACCCTCACGCCGTGTCCCTGGAGCCAGGGGCCTCACCCAAGGAGGTGGGTAAAAGGCCATGTGCCCATGCACGTCAGGCCAGGATGTCCCAGACGCCAAGGCCTGGCCCGCGAGCGTCTCAGGGCAGCTGCGTCCCCCCACCTCGGTCACACACGGCTTTTCTTCAACCTGGGGATTATCGTGTGGCTTGCTGAGCCGTGCGAGGAGAGGGAAAATGAATTTCTGCGGAATGGGAACAAGTCAGACTGGGCATGTCGTATTGACTTTGAAAGTGTGACCTTCTGTTCCTCAGGCCATGGTCAAGGTTTTTTCACGCCGGAAGCCCACGTTGTACAGTTTCCAGACGTGCCTGCCCCGCCTGCCCGTCCCAGCTTTGAACGACACCGTGCACAGGGTAGGTGTCCCCAAGGCACGCGTCTTCATGTGCTTAAGGTACTCTCCGTACTTGACTGCTGCACCCACAACATCACAAACAGGCAATACCTTTGTTTTTGTTTTGTTTTGTTTTTTATTTGTACAACGCTGTTGAGTTTCATAGAGAAACTGTAAGGCAAATGTTTTTTTTAACAAGTTTCATAATAAATGATGAGTCGTGTATTTCAGTGAGCTTCAGGATATTATGTTGTTTTACTTCTGGTCAATACAGAGAATTCGCCGTTCTGGCCATTTGCAGTTGCTTGGTAGTAATTCTGTCCACAGTGCTGGGCAACCGTGTCACTGGTTCACGGAGCTTCCCTGAGTCCGGCACCGCATCACAGACACTCGCCGTGCCTGCTCGCTGCCTCTCATGTCCTCACACCTGCCTTTCCGCTCTGTGAACGGCCTGTGCTCGATGCTTCCCCGGGCGCAGCCCTTCCGTATCCGCTCTTAGGCGTGGCTTCCTCCAAGTTCATTCACGGTGTAGCGTGGGGCAGAACGTCGTCGTGTTATGATTGAATGGGTCCATTTTCATCTTCTGGTAAGTGAGGAAAGCATTGGATCTGATTGTTCAGGCGAGCGTGGCCTCTGACCTGGACAGCCAAATGTGAGCATGACCACAGAGGGCCGACCTGCCGACAGCCTGCTTCCGCCACCTGGCAGAGACTTGTCCTGGCTCCTTGAAAACAATCATCTCCACACTTCATTTTCTCCTGACAACTATGTCTTTCCCTTTGCCCTTCCAGAGAAAGTTGGAGAAGTGGCTGTATTTCTTTGCTTCTGTCTTTTTAAAATTAGGATTCAACGATGTAACACAACTTCTATTTGTTCTCAAAAGGACAGTTCACTGACATTCAACACGTTTTTAACATTGTGCGCCTGTCACTGGCATCTGTGTCAGGACTTTTTTTCGTCACATAAAATCCCACCGTGTGTGTAGGGGCATGTGTAGGGGTGTGTGTAGGGGCGTGTGTAGGGGTGTGTGTAGGGGCGTGTGTAGGGGCGTGTGTAGGGGTGTGTGTAGGGGCGTGTGTAGGGGTGTGTGTAGGGGTGTGTGTAGGGGTGTGTGTAGGGGCGTGTGTAGGGGCGTGTGTAGGGGCGTGTGTAGGGGCGTGTGTAGGGGTGTGCGTGTTTGTGTGCGTGCCCTTTTCACCTAACTGTGCTTAGGAGTCATCCTGTCGTAGCACGAGGCACAGTCCTTTAACGCAGCTATGTCATCATCCACCCATCCATGAACATTGGTGCTCCTGCCTTTGTCTGCCACCAGCAATGCCGCTGGAACATCCACAGGCAAGGCACCCCTGTGTGCCAGCCGCCAGCTGCCCATGCCCTCCCTTCTCCACAGGAGTCTGGTTTATAAGAAAATCCTGGGCTTCAACTCATGTGTTGAGGCGGTACCGTTGACACGGTCAGCCAGCCAGCTCGCGTGTCGAGGCGGTACCGTTGACACAGTCAGCCAGCCATAGATCAGGGTTTTAGTTTTGCTGCTTCTACAGCCTCAGATCCCACTGGATAATTTAATATCTCTTAATTTTTCTTTTTTAAAAAACATTTTTATTATTTTCATTTTATTTGCGAGCCACAAAGATGGTAATATACAGAGAAACAGAAAGCTCCCATCCATTGGTCCATTCCCCAAATGCCCAACCAAGGCCTGCACCCCAGAACATAAGCCAGGCCTTCAGTTTAGGTGGCAGGGAATGCAAGTGCTGAAGTCTGCAGCCTCCCAGGGTGGCGGCAGCAAAAACTGCATCAGAGGTGGAGAACCTGTCAAACCAGGCACGCCGAGGTGGGTCACAGATGACCACAGCATCCAACAGCCCCCTCCAGAGGCCCCATTTAGAAGCTATATGCAGGGGGCTGGTGTGCTGGTGGAGTAACAGGCTACTCTTCTAACGAGCAGCACCAGCATCCCATATGAGTGCTGGTTCAAATCCCAGCTGCCCCGCTTCCCATCCAGCTCCCTGCTTATGGCCTGGGAAAGCAGCAGAGGATGGTTCAACTCCTTGGGTCCCTGCACCCGCGTGGGAGACCAAGAAGAAGCTCCTGACTTCAAGCCAGCCCAGCTCTGGCTGTTGTAGGCATTTGGGGAGTGAACCAGCTGATAGAAGATCTGTATCAGTAACTGATTTTCCAAGTAAAATAAATACATCAGGAACAAATATATGTGCAGGCCACCTGCAGGCTCATCGATTCCCGCTGGCCTGGGCAGCCCTTCCATCTCCTGCGATTGTCCAAGCTCAGGCAGAACCAACATGGAAAGGGTTTTCAAACCTTGGTCGTTATGTTGGAACTTTCCCTAAGTCACAGGAAGGGAAAATGTAGGTTTTGCATTGGCGTTTTCTGTTTGCTCCAGTACCTGGAATCCGTGAGGCCCCTTATGAAGGAAGGAGACTTTGAACGGATGACGGCACTTGCGCAAGATTTTGCTGTCACGCTGGGACCCAAACTGCAGTGGTATTTGAAGCTGAAGTCCTGGTGGGCCACAAATTATGTAAGTGTGTACCTGTTGACCACCTCCTCCTGCTTGGGGCCTTTTCTGGACTGTCCGTGTAGATGCTGCCGTGCCTGCCACACGGCGCTCACGGGGCTTCTCCGTGCTCCTTTGTCTGCACCCGCTAGGTGAGTGACTGGTGGGAGGAATACGTCTACCTGCGTGGGCGCGGGCCGCTCATGGTGAACAGCAACTACTACGCGATGGTGAGTCTGTCGGACTGGGTCACCTGCCCCTGGTGGCTTCCTGGGACGGCTCTGGGGAGCGATGTGACCCCTGTCCCTCCTGGTCCTGCAGCCACGGCTCCAGCTTCCTAATCCTGTGTGGGAGCCTGGCTGCTTCCCACCCAAGGACGTGGATCGTCCCTGTGTTTCCGTGGGTGCTCACGGGTGCTGAGCTGCTGCAGGGGAAGCTGAGGGACAGGCACGGCTCTGTGGGCGCTGGGAGCTCCTCGCCGTGGGCGTCCCAGTCCTGCTGCTTACAGCACCCAGTGCTCCAGCAACCTGGCAGTTCCTATCCCCCTAGAGCAAGGGGGCAGGGCTGGCCAGGACATGTGCCCCTCTGCCATCTTCTGCTTTCCCAGACCATAAGCAGTAGAGCAGCCAGGGCTTGAACCAGTGCCCAAAGGGTTGATGACACTTATAGGTAGAGGATTAACCATGTGAACTATTGCACTGACCCCAGAATTAATCATTTCACACAAATACATAGTTGCCTTGTCCCCCCCGACGTACCCATATGCGTGTGTGGAAGGGATATTATTGAAAGAGTTGTAGGAAAGAAGATCTTCAGTCCTTGTTCACTTCCCAAAGGCCACAACCAAAGCTGAGTCAATCCGAAGCCAGGAGCCAGGAGCTTCTTCCAGGTCCCCCACGCAGGTGCAGGGACTGAGTTCGGGACGCTGAGCAGCGTGGAGACGCCGCTGGCGTGTTGGATGCGGCTGTGTTTGATGGCGGCCTCCTCTCAGCTGTCCTCCTCCTCCTCCAGGACCTGCTGTACATCACTCCGAGTCACATCCAGGCGGCGCGTGCGGGCAACACCATCCACGCCATCCTGCTGTACAGGCGCAAGGTGGACCGCGAGGAGATCACGCCGGTAAGCAGGCGCCTGTGGGCCAGCTCTTCCGGGGGTCACTGGCGCTATCCCATGTGGGGTGCACGACCCACTACAAAGACCAAGCCAGTTCAGCATCTTAATGTGTGGTCAGAACTTGCCAGCTGTTGTTGTTTCCTGTTTGTTTGCTGATTGCAAACGTTTTTGCTACAGATTCTGCTGGGATCTGCCATTCCCCTCTGCTCTGCCCAGTGGAAGAAGATGTTTAACACGACTCGCATCCCGGGGGAGGAGATGGGTGAGTGGGGTTTCCGTAGGACCCCCTTGAGGACAAGAGGGTCTCTCGAGCCTCGCTGGCCTCTTCCCAGCAGCCATCCCTTAACCCTTACTTTATCTTCGAGCCACAGTCATTGCCAAAATGTTGCGCCTGCCTTGTCCCTTCTGCCTACCTGGTTTAGTGCTCTGCTGGTCTGGGGCTTCCTTGTTTTATCTGCACTGTTTTATTCCAGCGTTATTGACAGATATTCCCTGTCCAAGGGAATGAGGCAACCAAGATTGGCTTGGCAGTAATTTAGTGACAATTTTACTTCACAGAGGAAGGGTTGAGCCTCGGGCACGGCAGCCCTGGAGAGGCTGGGGAGGAGAGAGAAGAGAAGGGAGGGGAGGGAGGGGAGGGAAGCGAGGCGAGGAAGACCCAAAGGTATGCCACACAGGGAGGGCACAAGAAGCAACATGCTTCTGGGTCTGGCACCACAAGTGGTGTGGTAAGCTACCTGCTGCGACTCCACCATCGCAGGTGGGCACCAGCTGAGTCCTGGCTGCTAAGTTCCCCTGCAGCGCCCTGTTGGAGCACTGCGGAATGGTGGGGGTGAAGGGCATGGCCGCTGGGGCCACGTGGGAGAGCCAGACGGAGCTCCTGGCTCCCGACTCGGGCCTGACCTGATCCCTAGCTATTACAGCCGCTTGGGGAGTGAACCAGCAGGTGGAAGACCTCTCTCTGTCTCTCTCTAACTCTGACTTTCAAATGGGTACATCTCAAAAAGTAAAGAACGAAGAGAAGCAGCAGCCACAGCCCCAAGGGCCGGTGTTTCTGGAAGCAGCAGCTGCAGTGTGGCGTGGAGGGACCTTTTGCTTTTCTAGGCTTCCTGAATGCTGTAGGGAACTGCCTTTGGGGTCACGTATGCCAGCTGTGGGAAAGATTCTGCCATGGGGGAGCAGGAAGATCTCTGGGCTCTCTGAGTTACAGAGAAACAGATTTTGTTCTGTGAAAATTAGACGTGACAAGTTCATGTAAAACAAGCACCCGTGCAGGCGTGGTCAGGTGCAGGTGGGATGGCTCGGCTAAAGGGATGTTTCCGTCGGAGTTGGACGGCGTGTCTTCCCCAGCAGTGAAGAGCTTGCCCTTGGCCTGTTGTTTTGAACCACCTGCCGTTCTGAGGCTCCCCTCTGTCTGAGTCATTTTAGGGAACAGCCTTCGTTCTTTTGAGCCATTTTCCATTTCCCTTCTGAGAACATCGGCTAAGGTTTCCTATTGTAATTCATGAGTGGTACGCTCACTGTACAGTTTACTGTCTGTGAGCTGTGTGGATGCTGTTTTTAATTCTAGTACAGCCACTCCAGGGCTATATTGTGTCCATTTCCCAGATGAGAACATTGAGGCTTAGGGGTCACTCACTGCTCCAGACCACACATCCAGTGAGTGGCCAAGCTGAGCTTCGAGGCCAGATCCTGCACGATTCCACAGAGCCCCCTCTGTTGTGCACTTCATGCTGCCAGCATTCTTGGGAGAGGATGCGGGAACCCAAAGGGGATGACGCGGGGTCAGGAATCGCAGCTGTTGGCAAAGCCGGGGTGTGACGGGCTCACGCTCGTGGTGGCCGTGACCCTGGGTTCAGTGTGTGTGACCTGTGCCCCCAGACACCCTCCAGCACCTCAAGGACAGCAGGCACATCGTGGTGTACCACAAGGGGCGTTACTTCAAGGTCTGGCTGTACCACGACGGGCGGCTGCTGAAGCCCCGGGAGCTGGAGCAGCAGATGCAGAGGATCCTGGATGACTCCTCGGAGCCCCAGGCGGGGGAAGCCAAGCTGGCGGCCCTCACCGCGGCTGACAGGTGCGGGCCCTCTCCACCTGGCCTGTCTCTGGAGGCGGCCAGGTGCTTTATATTCCTTTGTACCCCCTAGTGGGGGCAGTCCCTCAGGGACCAGCAGACAACCCCGTGTGGGGCTCTGTCTCAGCTGCCACCCAGTAGCTGCCCCTATTGTGCCAGTCTGCCTTCTAGACCTCCCTAGGCAGCTGTCCCTAGGTGGCCACAGGTCTCAGCTGAGCTGCATTTGATCTTGCTGCAGAGTGCCCTGGGCCAAGTGTCGCCAGGCCTATTTCGGACGCGGGAAAAACAAGCAGTCTCTGGACGCCATCGAGAAAGCAGCGTTCTTCGTGACGTTGGATGAAACGGAACAGGGCTACAGAAAGGAAGAGCCGGAAGCGTCCATGGACAGCTACGCCAAGTCCCTCCTGCACGGCAAGTGTTTCGATAGGTAAGACCCTTCCCTTCCCTGGGAGCTTGGAAGTGACGTCCCGCGTGGGCGACGCCAGTCTCAAGGGTCTGCATGTGAGGAAGGAGCTGGCCTGAACGTAGAACTTTTGTTTTCTTCCTCTGTGGAAAGTGTCACACACAGCTTGAGATTGTGTTGTATGAGAGAAAGAGAGAGAGAGAGTGCTCCCTCTGCTTGGAGATGCTGGCAGCTGCTGGCCAAGGTTCAGAGGGTATAGGATGGGCCTCGCTTGCCAGCCGGGTGAACTGTGAGGCCCCTCCCCTCCTGCAGCCTCCTCTTCCTCATCTCCAAGGGACGGGCGCCCCCTGGGGGGGCGTCGGCTGGGACGGGGTGTGCCCCTGGGCAGTTCCCCTTTGCCTGGGACGGGTGGGAGGAGCCTGTCTTTTCTGACCATGTAGTGTTTGTTTCACCAGGTGGTTTGATAAATCCTTCACCATAGTCGTCTTCCAAAACGGCAAGATAGGCATCAACGCCGAGCACTCGTGGGCCGACGGGCCCATCGTCATCCACCTGTGGGAAGTGAGTGTCGCTTGAACCTGACTGGGGAAGCTGCTTTACAAAGTCAGAACCGCAGGCTGCGTTTCAGATCATCCGTCTGGCTGCATCATGTGCACGTCTGATGTGAATCGATGCCACACAGCCGGACCACGCCTTCGGCAGCTGTCATGTCTGCTGTTACTCTCTCTGACAACACCTTTGAGGGCCAGCTTGCGAGGGAACAAAAGAATGAGCCAGGTGGTCCTGGAGGGTGACAGAGATCCGGCTGCTGATGCACTCGGCAGCGTTGGGCCACAAGCAGGAACGTGGAGCTCATCCGTGTCCTGCAGGCTGGTCCCGCAGGTTCCTTCCGGGGTGTGCAGCAGCATAACGCTGCTTTGGCAGCACCCTGGCACCCCAACGGGTGCTTAGCCCACTGCACCCAGGCCCTGCCCCCACACCAGGCCCAGCCCCTGCACCCAGGCCCAGCCCCTGTACCCAGGTCTGGCCCCTGCACCCAGGCCCGGCCCCTGCACCCACACCCAGCCCCTGCACCCACACCCAGCCCCCGCACCCACACCCAGCCCCCACACCCAGGCCCAGCCTCCTCACTCCTCTTTCTTTGGACTTCCAGAAAGGCTCTGATTTTTGGCATTTCTCTTCATGGTAGTGTCTGTCCACTTTTCTTCTCTGGAGCTGAACAAGACTGGGGATGGGGGATTTATCTTTAGGGTCTCTGCCATGCTTGTCCTGCGCTCTGGGAAGCCCTACCCCTCCTTACCTCACCCCAGCTGCCTCTGCTCTCCTTGGAGGTTGGCTTCACTGCCCCAGGCTGCCTGTCTTGATCCCATGGAGGGCAGCGCCAACCTGCTGCTGTTCATGTGTGTGTGTGTGTAATTGGACATTTTGTTATCTTTGTGCCCAGCTCTTCCCAGGCATACCATAAGGTCCCTGTTATAAGCCACCCTTGCTGCGGCTAAGCAGTGTTGCCCTGTGGGGAGAGCCCGCCCCACGGGGGTCCGGGTTGGTGCGGGTCCAGGTTGTCTGTCTTGTTTTTAGTGTTCTGAAGGATCCCGCTGTTGTCTAGGGCTTCCATCGATGCTGGCATTGCTTGAGGCAGAGCAGGAATCCTTGTCAGTATTGCCTGAATGTCATTGCTGCTGCCCTGGTGCCCCACCCCCACCCTGGGGAGTCCACTGGTGCGAGTTGACGTGGGTTTACCTGGCCATGAAAGATCAGCCACACCGTGTCAGGGCCTGGACGCCCATGGAGCACAAGCGTGGAGGAGACCCAGCTCCTCTGCAGGGCTGGCTTCGCCTCTGTCCACAGGGGCATGGCAGCTAGTGCTGTCCACTGTTCGTGACAACACAGAGCAAATGACACGTGGACGTTAGGGACACAACGTGCCATGAGTGTTCGCCTCTGACACAGCAGAGTCCCCAGAGTCCCGTGACCTTAGCGAGATGTTGAGCCTTGTCTGTCTAGTCTTCCTCAGCCCCACCTCCTCAGGACGGAAAGCACTGCAGGTGGCAGGACGTGAGCCACCAGGGAGGGATGAGCCCGGTGTCTCCAGGAGATGGAACCTGTTGTCGTGGCACCGTTGCTGTAATGATCACGGCCTCACCACCACATTCTCACTTTGGACAGTACATTGTGGCTGTGGACTTCTTCCAGCTGGGCTACGCGGATGATGGACACTGCAAAGGGGACCCCAACCCCAGCATCCCGTACCCCACCAGGCTGCAGTGGGACATCCCCGAGGAGGTGAGTCCAGGCGGTCAGCGGGGGTGGTGTCCTGGGCAGGACTCCCCCTAACCTAGTATCCCAAGTGCAGTCCTGAGCGCCGGAGCTCAGCTGACGTGCAGGGAAATGGAACGTTTTTTGCCCAGCGAGTTTCTATGAGGGCCATGCAACTGCCGTGTCTCATTTCACCTTGGAAGCCTTAGTGAGTATTTCTTCTATTTGAGGAAGAGTTGAGGTTTCCATCTCACAGTTATAAAATGCTTATAAATTTGAAAACTTTAGTCAATTTTTTTCCCATAATGATTCTCAACTATAGCCCACTCATTAGAATTCCTTCTGGGAAGAAATTTTGCATTGGAGCTCTAAAATTCTCTCTTCACGTAAGCAGAAAATTCTGGGGCGTCAAGAAATAACGTTCACGCAGTATTGTATCTGGTGCTGCCGTCTTGCCGACGGAGCCGGCTTCTCTTGCAGTCCCGACCCAGCGAGCTTGAAGGTCCCGACCCTTGCAGCGAGCTTGAAGGTCAACCACACGCCAGGCTTGGGGTCCTGCTGGCTGGCCGAGCCACCCACCGTTTCTTTTACAACCTCACTAACAGTCTTGGTATTTTGGAGCAGTTCTGTTTGCAGCAAACTTGAGTGCAAGGACCAGAGCGTTCCTGCACGCCTCGGCCTCCTCCCGCACACCGCCCCGCTCCTGTGTGCGTCTCACCAGTGACCCTAGGTGGACACAGGCCTGGCTTCGGTCACCTGAGTTTCCTCCATGGCTTTTCACTGCTGCCTGGTTCGATTCCTTGTTAATACTAAGCGACATTCCGTGATGTGCTTGTTCACTGAGTCTCGAAGCCTTATGTCTTGATGGCCACAGCACGTGTCTGAAGCTTCATGAAACCAAGTCCACACTGTGTGGTTTATCACATACCAGGATATGCGGAAGTCCCCCGCCATGTTCACACTTCCGGAGTCAGACTGCTGCTCCTCCTTTGGGGGTCACTCTCTGTGGCTAACTTCCTTGGGCTTCTAAAATACCCTTCCAGGAAAGACATGATTTGCACTTTCTCCGTAATAACTTGGAGGCCTGCTGGGTACGTGCCAGTCATTTCCCGACAAGCAGAGCCTGCCTCTGCTCTCTCCCCAGTGCCAAGAGGTGATCGAGGCGTCCTTGAGCAGCGCGACGCTCCTGGCCAGCAACGTGGACTTCCACTCGTTCCCTTTCCACACCTTTGGGAAAGGTTTAATCAAGAAGTGCCGGACCAGCCCGGACGCCTTCATCCAGCTGGCCCTGCAGCTGGCTCATTACAAGGTGAGGCTGCGAACCGGGGCTTTCTCGTGAGCCTGTGTGTGCTTCCCTCACTCATGCCAAGGCTGCTACATCCGCTGGGTTTGGAAGGCCTGAAAGCTGCCTGGGGAGGCACAGGCACGGCCACTGCTGTGCCCAGCCGTGCATGGTAGAGCTGGGAAGTGGGCATGGTGAGTGTGCAACCTGAAACATGGACCACCTGCGTCCTACAGAGGAGGCCTCTGTTATTACGGGCAGGTTCTAGAAAGGATGATGACAGGTGAACTCGAGCTGCTTTCTCCAAGTTGTGAGCACTCGTTTCCATCTTGCAAATGCTCCCGCCTGCTCCTGGACCTGTGACTGGAAGCCGGCCTTAGCTGAGCCAGCTGGGAGTTGCGGGACTCCGTGTGGTCCTGCTGAGGCCTTCTGAGACCGCTGCTGTCTGCCTCTGCAGGCCCCCCACACACAGCCTCTTCTCCCGTCTCACGGAGACACCGGCTGCGAATGAGGTCACCCACCCATACTCCACCTTCCTGCTGGTGGGCGTTTCCTCCCCAGCCAGATGGACCAACTCGAGTTAGGGCTTTAGGATTTCAACTCGCTTCATACTGGCGCCTGCATGTCTCTCTCACACACGCTGTTTTTGCCCTTTCCACGAGCGGATCTGCGGCACTCACGGTGTCAGAGCCTCGGGCAGGTGTCATGGCGTCACGGAAGGGGAACCCGGGGTCACACAGAAACTGACTCCTCCACTCATCCAGCCTGTCCCAAAGCAAATGACACCCGGGCCGCTGCGTGTGACCAGGCACGTGCCCACACAGGCTCTCACTGAACAATGGTCCTGTCCTTGTCAGCCACCCTCCTGCCTTAGGGTTCACCACATGCCTAGCCCGGGTCTGAAGGTCTTTTTCTTCCTCCAGGACATGGGCAAATTCTGCCACACGTATGAGGCCTCCATGACCCGGCTATTCCGAGAGGGGAGGACGGAGACCGTGCGCTCCTGTACCACGGAGTCCTGCAACTTCGTGCTGGCCATGATGGACCCCACCCAGACGGTAAGGCGCAGTGCCCTGCCGCCTCCCATGAGGGACATGAGCGGTGGGCCGGTGCGGTGCCTTCCTCGTGCTGTGGCCCTCCGCCTGCTCCTCCCTGCCTCCCCACACCCCCATCCCCAGGGAGCGGGCAGGGACAGGCGGCAGATCAGGGCTGGGTCCTTGTGCTTCTAGAAGTCAGGTTGTGCTCCCCATGGGTCTTTGCAATAGAATTGAGTGAAGGGTTTCTGTAGGTTGCCTGTTCAAGTCCCAGCAGTACCTGGGACATAGTATCATCTCCCTTCCATGGACGAAGAAACAGAGCAAGATTAAATGACCTAGTCAGTGCCACCCACCTAGTAAGGGGCAGCTGTCAGAGCTGTGCCCAGGCCACCCAACCCCGGGCGGGCCAGGGTTCTCTTTTCTATGGGAAATTTTGCTTTGAAAAGGCTCTCAGTTCTGAGGAGAGAAATGAGCCATGGCTCATGGCTCTGATGGGATTGTTCCAGAAAAGGCCTTGAAGACCTGATGGGTGGCACTCAGTCCACTGAGTGAGCATTACGCTGCCCTGACCTGATGGTTTCCGTCACCGAGTCCCAAGGAACCTGAGAGGGGCACTCAGGGTCAGAATTAAGGGCACAGAAGCGCTGTTCTAGAATTGTCAGCCAGACCATACCCCATGGTGCCACGGCAAGGAGGCTAGGACATGGTGGGTATGATGCGAAGAGGTGAAGTGATACAGGGCACACAGGCCCAGGCGACCTCGGGTGTGGTTCTCTAGCTGTCCGCCTTGCCCCTTGGAACCCCCTAGGGAAGGGGCAACCGCCTGCCCTGTGTGTCATCAGGAGACCCTGGGGCCAGTGCACCCCTTTCCTGGGGATGCCCCCTGGGAAGGACAGCTGCCCGCCCTGTGTGGCACCAGGAGACCCCAGGTGCCTATGTGCCCCTTTCCTGGGGGCTGAGAGGCAGGTGGCCCGGCCTGACGCGTCCCGTGCCTGCGCCCTTGGTCTCTCAGGTGGAACAGAGGCTCCGCCTGTTCAAGCTGGCATCCGAGAAGCACCAGCACCTGTATCGCTTGGCCATGACCGGCGCGGGCATCGACCGGCACCTCTTCTGCCTCTACGTGGTGTCCAAGTACCTGGGCGTGGAGTCCCCTTTCCTGAAGGAGGTGAGTCCCTCTCCCCGGGAGGCACTGTGTTTGCTGGATGGGGCCCAGGCTCAGCCCGTGAGCAGAGCCTGGTCCAGGAGAGGGGGCAGCGGGCGGGTGCACCTTTGGGGTCAGGGGCAGACGGGGGCAGGTGCGCCGGTGGGGTCAGGGGCTAGACGGGGCCAGGGGCATGTGCGCCTGTGGGGTCAGGGGCCAGACAGGGGCAGCGGGCGGGTGCACCTGTGGGGTCAGGGGCAGACGGGGGCAGGTGCGCCGGTGGGGTCAGGGGCCAGATGGGGGCAGGGGCAGATGCGCCTGTAGGGTCAGAGGCCAGACGGGGGCAGCAGGCGGGTGCACCTGTGGGTCAGGGGCCAGACAGGGGCAGAGGCAGGTGCGCCTTTGGGGTCATGAGGCAGATGGGGGCAGGGGGCAGGGTTAGTCTGTAGCTGATTTTATTATCATTATTATTAATCTTAGTTTATTTTTGATATGTTTGTTAGGGTTTGTTTATGTATTTGAAAGGCAGAATTTCATAGAGAGAGAAAGAGAGCACTCTTCCATGTGCTGGGTCACTTCCCTAATGGCCACTCGGCCGGGGCAGGGACAGGTCCAAACCAAGACATCCTCTGCTGCTTCCCAAGCACATTAACAGGGAGCTGGATCTGAGGTGGAGCAGCCAGGACTTGTACCAGCACCCACATGGGATGCCAGTGTCAGCAATAGAAGCTTATCGTGATACACTGCAGCATGGACCCACCCACCCACACACACACACACATACCACACACATACCACACACACACAATTCACTTGCCTTTGTGTTCTCCGTAAGTGAGCAGCTAGCGCCTGCAGGCTGATACACGTGAGACACTCCCTCTGATCCCAATGCCTCGCCCGCCTCCTTCTCTGCCTTAGCCCTGCCCACTCTGCCTTAGCCCTGTGTGGTACTGACCGCCCTCGGGGCCCTGGGCACTCCTGGTGTCTGAGACAGCCAGAACGCCAGACTGGCCTTTCCTAGGAAGGCCTCACTGAGCTTTCTTTTGCCCCCACTCCGCCAGGTTTTAGCTGAGCCGTGGAGGTTGTCAACCAGCCAGACACCCCTGCAACATACGGACCTGTATGACTTCAAGAGGAACCCCGAGTTCGTGTCCAGCGGGGGAGGCTTCGGACCAGTAAGTGTCACGAGCGTCGCTGGTGTCACCGGGAGACACGCTGCAGCCCCCCGTGCTCAGAGCGCCCCTGGGTGCCGCAGAGGGGAGTGGCTAGCGGGAGGCCGGGCCTTGGCATCCCAGGACCATCACCGACAGCCCTCGCTTGCTCGGCAGGTGGCTGACGACGGCTACGGCGTGTCTTACATCATCATGGGGGAAAACCTCATCAACTTCCACATTTCTGCCAAGTTCTCCTGCTCGGAGACGGTAAGTTGGCCAGGAAGTTTCTTGATCTAAAGAGGACTTCGTGTTCCTGGCTTCAGTTTAGCACTTGGTTTACACACACGTACCAGTACGTGAGCTTGAAATTTCCCTAGTTTTACAGAAACACGGTTTTGGCTCTCCTGTCCGATTCCAGCTCCCTGCCAGTGCGTACCCTGGGGCAGCACGCAAGGGCTCAGTGTCAGGGCTTCCTGCCACCCCCGGGAGACCCACTCAGAACCTCCTGCTCCTTTCCGTTGCCCGGCCCCGCCCAGCTCTTCCGCGAGTTTAGGGAATGAAGCAACAGGTGAAAACTCTGTCCTTTCAAATACATTTTTCAAAGTGAAGAACTTCAATTGTATAGCTGTCATGTCAACATTTCTCTAAAATGTCTAGGTTTATGAGAAAGCAGAAAGTTAGAGACATTTTTAATTAAATTTGAACCAACTTATGAAAATGCTTGAAGTGCACTTTTTATCGTCTTGTTTCGCCTCCCAGGACTCCCATCGCTTCGGAAAACACGTGAGACAAGCCATGACCGACATCATCGCTCTGTTCGGGCTGAAGTTCTGACCCCAGGAAGTGATGGCCGGGAGCCCCCCGAGCAGCAGCAGGGACCCTCCTGGAGCGAGCCATGTGATCACAGTCCGGGATGGAAACTCACCTTAGAAAAGCCCACGCTTCCCTAGACCAGCCAAGTGCCACCCTCCCCTGCCGGGCCCGCGCCCCTCGGCAGCAGCTGCCCAGGTGCCCCAGGGCTGGTGGGGGGAGGGATGGCAGGGCGGTGGCATCCTGGAGGAGGGGGACGTCCTGCCCGTGGACCTCAGGGCGGCCGACCAGCCGCCAGCCGGGGCGTCAGGGCCTCTTACGTCATCACGGCCGTGTAGACACTGGCTGTGTTCAGGGACAGGTGGGTTGTGTTGTTGAAGAGCGCTGACACGTCACGTCACGCACCGTCAGGGGGTGCCGTGGCTGCAGGCAGGCGCTGTCCCCGTGGGCAGCTGTGTCCGTGGGGACATTGTGTATCTTGGGCCATCAGTGCAGTGTGGATGTCAATTAGTAATAAAACACAATCCTGTCTGTCTACCAGAGCCTTTGTCTCTTCTTTCCTGGGCGACGAGGGGCTGGGTGCTGCGCTGGGACCAGCTCCAGCCCGTCCACCTGCATGAAATGGTGTTAGTGTGGGCAGCCCGGAGCTGGCTAGTACCTGTGCTTGACTGCGTGGGAGCCCAAGGCTGCTTACTTCACCCTCACCTTCCCTCAGCCTGGCTCCTGGCACAGTGCCTGGCACATGGCAGGGGCTCTGAATCCCGCAGTGTGCCTCAGCTCCAGCCTAGGCTCTGCTGGCCAAGCTCCGGTCCTGAGGTGAGGCGGGCCTCCCAGGTGATGGAAGGTTCCAAGGAGCCCAGAGGACTGGGGCTGTGTGGTGAGCGACAGCTGGCTCAGGAGGGACACTGCGAGCTGAGCAACACTGTTCAGCCAGCGCCACACGGGCAGCAGGGACGGGGCGGCAGGCGGGTGCCCACAGCTTGGCAGTCACCCCACTTCTGTGCCGCGGCTCTGTGCTCAGGAATGTGAGGGGGAGGACGGACCCAGGCCAGCGGGTGCTCGGAGCTGTGTCCTCTGCCTCCCAGGTTCCTGAGCTCGCCCGAGTTCCCGGGGTGGGACTCTCCCAGGAACCAGCTGAGAGTGAGACCCCACCCACGCGTGGACACCCACCGGGAGCCAGAAGAGCAGCACAGGGGTGGGCTTGGGGACGTGGCTTCCCCAACACTTCAGTGTTTCTGCGGGGGCTTATGTCAGACACATCCAAACAGGGCGACTCAGCGTCCAGCTGCAAGGGCTTCTGGAGTATTCTACGGCAGCTGCCCTCCCTAGGAGCACCTGGCATTGGCACCGAGGGAGAGATGCCCGTGCAGTCCTGCCCCGTGGGGCTGGGCCTCAGCAGATGGCATGGTGTTTATGCTAGTGCCGGCACGTGGTGGGAACATCCTCCAGCGCTAACAAGAATGTTCCAGAATAATCTCTTCAGAGAAGGGCATCCTGGCTACAACATGCACCTGCCTGTCGAACTTCAGGAAATGTGCTGCGTAAGACCGCACAGTACTGCTGTGCTGGCTCCTACCCTGCGGCTTTATTTTTTCTCTTTTAATCTGATTTTTATTTGAAAGGCAGAGATATATAGAGAGCATGAGAGACAAAGATCTTCTGTCCACTCTTTCCCTCCCCAAGAGCCATCCGAAGGCAGCAGCCAGGAACTTGTCCAGGTCTCCCATGCAGGTGCAGGATCCCAAGGCTTTGGGCCGTCCTCCACTGTGTTCCCAGGCCACAAGCAGGGAGCTGGATGGGAAGTGGAGCTGCCAGGATTAGAACCGGTGCCCATGTGGAATGGCGGCGTGCAGACGGAGCACAAGTCTACTACCCGACGACGCCAGCTGCTGCCCTGCGAGTTTTCAGAGTGTTTTATATATGATACTAGAACACGTTGAGTGTGCTGTTTCTACTTGACTAGGAATGCCTGTGGTCCGTTCCACACTCGGATACAAGTATGCACAGTCACGCACCTGCCGCCCCTCTGCGCACCAGCACCCACGGTGCTCCCGGGTCCCACTCCTCCCAGTTCTCCCAGCGGGCCGGGGTCGCCTGTGCAGGGCTCCAGGGCCCGCCCACTCCCCGCAGGCCCGCCCACTCCCCGCAGGCCCCGCCTACCTCCTAACAGGTCCCATCCACCTCCCGCAGGCCCCGCCCCGGTCCTACTCACCCCCGCAGGCCCCGCCCACTCCCCGCGGGCCCACCCACCTCCAACACAGGCCCGCCCACTCCCCGCAGGCCCGCCCAATCCCCGCAGGCCCCGCCTACCTCCTAACAGGCCCCGTCCACCTCCCGCAGGCCCCGCCCCGGCCCTGCTCACCCCCGCAGGCCCCGCCCACTCCCCGCGGGCCCACCCACCTCCAACACAGGCCCGCTCACCTCCCACGCAGGCCCCGCCCACCTCCCACAGGCCCCACCCCGGTCCTGCTCACCCCCACAGGCTCCGCCCACCCAACGGTCCGGCCCCGTTGACCCTCCAGGCCTGCAGGGGCTGAGGCCGCCGGGGCGTCCGTCGGGGGTGGCCGTCCGTCGGGGGAGGCCGTCCGTCGGGGGAGGCCGTCCGCCGGGGCGTCCATCGGGAGAGGCCGTCCCTAGGAGAGAGGCCGTCCCTAGGAGAGGCCGCGGTCTGTGGCGGGAAAGGGACGAGGGGCCTGGGGAAGCGCAGGTGGACGGCGCGTCGTGGGCGACATGGCTGCCAGTCGCGTCCTTCACGGGCCACGCGACCCTGTCCGGTCACGGGCGCCATGACGGTCCCCGGCAGGCCCGTGGGGAGGCGCGCCCCTCCCCGGCCGGACGCCCCCTGACCTGTCCACCTGTTGCAGGAGCTCGGCCCCTGCGGCCATGGACGAGGCCCCGCTGCTGGGCGCGATGCCCGGCCCGGAGGAGGAGGTGGTGAGCGGCCTGTTCGGCGCCGACGGTCAGTTTGTGCCCGAGAACATGGCGCTGAAGCCCCCGGCGGCCATCAAACACGAGGAGGACGAGTTCCACGTGCTGAGGGACGCCTACCTGTGTGCGGCCGAGCCCCAGGGGCCGCTGCTGGGCGCCGACGGCCAGGCCAAGGTCAAGGTGGAGCTGCTGGTGGAGGAGCAGGCCGAGGAGCAGCTCCTCGCGGAGTACCCGGAGCTGCCCGAGCTGCACCCGCTGGAAGACGCCGCGCTGCCCGCAGCTCCCCAGGCGCACACCTACAACCTGCACTTCCTGTCCTCAGTGCTGGCCCCGCACCGCAGCCCGGCCGTGGTGCCCCTGGGTGCCTGGGCCAGGGATGGCGCCGCCCACCCTGGCGTGCGCGTGATTCCAGTAAGAGCCCCGCCGTGGGGGACAGGCCTGGGAGCCCCCTGCGCCCCTCGCTCCACTCTTGTTCCTGCCACCACCCCCCTCCGGGGCGTCTCCCCTGAGAGGGTCCCTGGGCTCCCGGCAGCCAGTCCCCTTCAGAAGCCCAGGGGCACCCGCCTGACCCGCACCCTCGTCCCCGAAGTGGGGGGCTAGATGGCACCTGCATCCCATTGCGTTGCTTTGATGAGTCTGGCACCTGGGTGCAGTGAGTCGCTGGAACCCGGCTCCGGAAGCCAGGGCTCTTCAGAAAGCGCCCTCTCCCAGCCGCTGCAGGCTGCAGACACCAGCAGCAGCTGCATCTCACCCGCGGGCACGGTGCCCGGGCGCCTGGCCCCTCCTCTGCCCTCTTCCCGGGAGCCTTAGCAGGGAGCCGGTTCAGAAGTGGAGCAGCCGGGACGCCAAGCTGCCCTTTGACGGGAGATGGGACGGGCAGGCCACGGCTTACCTCACCTACCACAACGCTGGCCCAAAGCCCGAATGAAAAGATATTTATTTTGGCGCAAACATAAATTCATACTTGAGACATTTTCCAAAAACTTTGTGGAAATGTTTATTTTGAACTTGCATGGACTTCAAATTTTTTGTACCAAAATTTGTTTCAAACTTTTATTTATTTTAAAAGGCAGAGCAGAAACTGACAGGTCTTCCACCCACCACTTCCCTCCCCAGAGCAGCTGGGGCAGCAGGCTGGCACTGAGTCCAGGTCTTCCATGTGGGGGTCACGGATCCAAGTGCACCCTGGCGTACGGTGGCACCGGGTCCTAGTGAGGGAGAGAGGCTCGGAGCGTGGGGCTGCTCCTTCCCGTGGTACTCGGGTCAGTTTGCGGGGGGCAGCTGCCAGAGCCAGCGTCCAGCGCGTGCTCACGAGGCCGCGGTGGCTCCTTTAGGTGGAGATAAAGGAGACAGGCGGTACTCCTGCCGGCGGCCACCCGGAGGAAGCACCCTTCCCGAGCCCTCTGCCCCAGGAGGCCTGCTGCAGGTTCCCGCCGTCCCAGGAGGCCGAGGATGCCACCAGCGCGGCCCGCAGGAAGGACTCCAGCCCCATGGTAATGGTGCAGGGAAACCGTGCTGGCTGCCGTCGTGTGGAGGGCTGGGCCCCCGGCATCACCAAGTGGGTGGATGGGTTCAGGCCTTGTCCCTGGGCGCAGCATCACAGCTAGGGCCTTTCACCTTTGCCCTTTGCCCTCTGGGGCTCTCTCCAGTGCTGGAGAACCACAGCCACAACAGATGGGACAGGTCTGTGTGTGCTGAGGAGACACAGGGGTCACCCCAGGCATGCAGAGCCCAGGGTCATAGGGACCTGAGCCCCGTGGGGGCGGGCTGGCGGGCTGTGGCTCTGACTTGGTCCTCCAGATGCAGGTCTGGGCCCCCGAGCGTGAGAGCCGAGCATCGGGGTGACCTGAAGCCTGACCCCAGGCGCGGTGCCTGCTACTGCAGTTGTCTCGGGGGGGGGGGGGGGGGGGGCTCTTCTGCTGGCTTTCCTTCATTGGAGTGTAAGCGTCCTGAGCCCGGAGACCGCGTCCTCTCTGGGAGACCACGTCCTCTCTGGGAGACCTCGGCGTGTTTGGGACAGGAGCCCGAGGCCTCTGTGGGCAGGGTGCTGTCGTCCTCCGCCCTGGAAGCTGGGACGAGGCAGAGCCCTCGGCTTGTCTCCATCGGACCCGCGTGGCTTGGCGGAGTCAGGCGCCCAGGGAGCTCCCTCCGTGTGCAGGCTTGTCCGGAGGGCTGCACAGGCTCCCCTGGCCGCAGAGAGGCCATTCCTCAGCAGAACTCGAATCGTGAAACGGGTGGAACCAGTCAAGTCCTGGGAAGTAGACATGTTTGTTAAAATTTTTTAGTTCTTAGAAATTGCAATTCTTAAATTCCTAAATTGTACGAATAAGACAAATGGATACTTTAAAAACATGTGTTAACGTGTGTGTGTGGTGGACAAGAATACAGTAAGATGGGACTATTTACGCACGTGTCCAGCTGCACAGTGGGTCCAGGGGACAGATTCGCCCAGGTCCCCGTGGAGAGGGGATGCGGACCATGGAGTGCAGGGCCGGGGCACGGGCAGCAAGCTGGGGCCCACAGCGAAGTGTCCGTGTCAGGCAGCGTTGGGGATGGGCCTCTGGGAGCCTGCCCTGCACCCCAGCGGGCTGTCGGCAGCCACGTCTGGGCCGGGCAGTTCAGAAAGCACGGAATGTAGACAGAAGTGCAGGCGCATCTGGACAACAGCCGGCTCCGGAGTAAGCTCACCTGGGGTCCCTTACCTGGGTCAGGTGCTCAAAATGACACGTGCCCCTCGTTTTCCTCTTGGAGGTGATCTGCCAGTTGAAAGGCGGGACGCAGGTGCTGTGCGTCGACAGCTGTGGCACGCGAGAGCTCAAGGCGCTTCCCCTGCTTCCTCAGTACCAGGAGCAAGGCAGCTACCTGCAGTCGGGTGAGTCGGCCGCACACACGGCAGCCTGCACGGGCTCACGTCTGTCAAGGTAATAAACAGGCAATTCTACCAGAGTCCTAACCCTCACAAACGAGCTAAGATTCATAGATGAATGCCGAATGCCTACATAGCTGCCTCCCCCGCAGGCCCTGCAGGTCAGTCCAGGGTCGAGAGGTCTGTGAGCGTGCTGGGAGGACTCACGCCAGCTCTGATTCCACAGCAGCGGTGCCCAAAGGTGCCCGGGTCAGCTGTAGTAGAGAATGGGGGCTGCGGGGCTGCACTGGAGAGATGGAAGCCTGCCCGTGGGGCTGTGCTGGAGACAGGAGGAACAGGGGGGCTGCCCGTGGGGCTGTGCTGGAGAGCGGTGGGCTGCTGTGGAGCTGACATACACCGTGTTTCCATGTTGGAAGTAAGAACTGTCATGGTCCCCATGAGTTTTTTTTTTTTTAAAGATTTATTTTATTCTTATTGGAAAGTTACATATACAGAGAGGAGAGACTGAGAGGAAGATCTTCTGGCTGGACCTGAGCCAATCCGAAGCCAGGAGCCTCTTCTGGGTCTCCCACGCGGGTGCAGGGTCCCAAAACTTTGGGCCGTCCTCGACTGCTTTCCCGGGCCACAGGCAGGGAGCTGGATGGGAAGCGGGGCTGCTGGGATTAGAACTGGAGCCCCTATGGGAGCCTGGGCGTGCAAGGAGAGGACCTTAACCACTGCGCCACCGCGCCGGGCCCTCCCCATGAGTTCTGAAACGCGATCAAGTGATTGATCTGAAATTCATTCTCTCAAGCTCCTTTTAGCGAGAAACACACAGCTCTGCTGAGACGCCCTGTGAGAGGTCCAAGTAACATTAAGTGATGTGATTGGCGATGCTTTGTGGAGTTGATGAGCAGGGCCCTTCCTCTGTGGGTGGCACACCTTCGTGTTCCTCTAAGTCGTTTCTGGTTAGACTTTCATTGTGGGCACTGACTGGCGTGAGATGCCATGCCTTTGGGAACCGGGCCAAGGAGAAGCAGCGTGCCTGCCCATCTCCGCACAACAGTGACTTCAAGCTGCTGGCTTTTGCCGGGAGGGAGTGTGCTGGGGACTGCCCACTGTGGCTTCCTGGGGCCCACCTCCCTTCCCTTGCCTCTGGGCGCCACGTGCCAGCGTGCCGGTGGCGCCTCCAGGTCCACAGAAGGGCAGGAGGGAGACGCACTCTCCATCACTCTTTCAGATGATGCCAAGTCCCTGTTTGTTACAGCATGCACATTTTATTTAAAGCTTATTATGTAAAAGGCCGTTCCAGCTGCTGGCTCACTCCCCAGATGGCTGCAATGCCTGGGGCTGGGACAGGCCACAGCCAGGACTGAGGAGCTTCCTGCAGGTCTCCCCATGGGCACAGGGGTCCCAGGCCTTGGGCCATCCTCTGCTGCTTTCTCAGACACATTAGCAGGGGGCTGGACCAGAAGAGCAGCCAGGACTTGAACTGATGCCCATCTGGAATGTTGGTGTCACAGAAGGTAGCTTCATGCACTCTACACAACACAGCCCTGCACCATGCACATTCTAAGCATAACCATAGAATAAATGCATCATTTGCCTTCGTCTGAATCTGCCAAAGTGTGTGTGGGCCAACGGCAGGCACTGTGGCCCTCCGGCACAGCTCCTCGGGCAGCCCCTCAGCCCCCATCTCTCCGGCACAGCCCCACGGGCAGCCCCTCAGCCCCCCATCTCTCTCCGGCACAGCCCACGGCAGCCCTCAGCCCCCATCTCTCCGGCACAGCCCCACGGGCAGCCCCCCCTTCCCCATCTCTCCAGCACAGCCCCACGGGCAGCCCCCCCCTTCCCCATCTCTCCGGCACAGCCCCACGGGCAGCCCCTCAGCCCCCATCTCTCTCCGGCACAGCCCCACGGGCAGCCCCTCAGCCCCCCATCTCTCCAGCACAGCCCCACGGGCAGCCCCTCAGCCCCCATCTCTCCAGCACAGCCCCTTCCCGGGCTGGCACAGGCCTGTGTTTGAGGAGTAAAACACACATTTCTCTTCCCGCTGAGGAGCCCGGAGGTCTGTGACACCCGAGGGCTCAGGAATGCCCAGCAGGTATGTGTGGACAAAGCCCCACAGCCTCATCAGTCCCTGCAGGAAGTACCTTGTACTGAGTAGCTGAATTTTACCCTAACAAGTTAGTCCCCACTCGAGGAAAAGCAGGCAGGTCAAGCACTCCTCGCAGTGCACTGAGTGAGCAGGGATACTCCGGGACAGCCGGCGGCTGTGTCCCCGAGCCCCCGGGCCGCCGGCACACAGCTCGGGGACACAGCAGGCCCACCTCAGGGCGGCCGAGTCAAGCAGCTTTATGGTATAAAGTAGCTTCACTGACCCAGAGTTTTATAGAACAAAGCCAGCAAGCTGAGCTTCCCGTGACCATGCCAGTCGCCTGCTCCGGGTGCAGAGCAAGCGTGTGCACGGCCAGCTCACCCCGCTGTCTCCTTGCAGACGTTCCTAAAGCGATGCCGGCTTCAGCAGGAAGATTCTTGCCAGTACCGGCGAAATTCAGTCTCATTCCACAGCAGGTGAGTCAGTCTAATGCAAAAGTACAACTGGGCATCGTGCGCTCTTGAAATCTCCCTTAGCGAAATATTCCGGACCCGCCATTGAAAACACAACAGTGAAACATCTAGCAAGTTCTGGACTCTTGCCCTCCCTTGTACACTGGGCAGCCCAGCCACTTCTTAGCTCTCTGACTGACCTGTTCCTTTGGTCTCCAGACCCGCAGCCGCCCGAGGTGCTGCCCAGGTGGAATCCAGAACATTCTGAGCTGCCACATTAGCACAAATACATTCTTCTGTCCAGTTGGGCTTTCTGATTCTTCCGTAGTGCACAGGAGTATTACCCAGAGGGCAGCCTCAGCTCCCCAGCGCGGTCCCTTGGCACCTACTCCTTGCCCCATGGCACTCTGGCGGCCCTGCGCTGCCCTGCCCTTGCCATGCCTGCCCTACCCTACCCTACCCTGCCTGGTCCTGCCCTGTGCAGCCCTGCACTGCCCTGCCAGGCCCTGCCCTGCCCTACCCTACCCTGCCCTGCCTTGCCCTGCCCTGCCCTGCCCTCCCTGCCCTGCCCTCCCTGCCCTGCCCTGCCCTGCCAGGCCCTGCCCTGCCCTGCCCTGCCAGGCCCTGCCCCGCCCCGCCCTGCCCTGCCCTGCCCTGCCAGGCCCTGCCCTGCCCTGCCCTGCCCGGCCCTGCTGCACTGGGAATGCAGCTGCATGGGAGAGTGCAGGTGTGCGTTGACCTGCCGTTTATATCTCTGAACGGACGGCACACAGCCTGGCACAGGCATGGTAGTGCCTCACGTGCAGGGGGTGGCCAGGGGAATGAGTGCTTGGGTGACACCAAGGGACAAGGAACCTGACAGCACGCCACCCCCCCATCCCACAGCCCACAGTGGGTGCAGCAGGCTGGCCACAGGCGATGTGCTCAGTGGGTGGTCATATTCCATGTGAGGAGAGCAGAGGAGGGGGCTGGGGACAAGCAGGGAAGGGCAGGTGTCCGTGTACACACAGCGGTCCCAGCTGCACGAGAGGTGACAGGCCAAGCACAGTCCGGAGCAACATGAGGGCATGGGCGGCGCAGGGAGGACACAGCCCACGCGCGGGCAGCAGCAGGCCCGGGGGACGGCCAGCTCAGGGTGGTGACAGAGCGCAAGGGAGGGTGGCAGCGAGTCCACGAGGGGCAGAGGCTCGCGGGTGTTCCTGTGCGGGAAGAGACAGAGGGGAGGGAGGCACGAGGGGAGAGCCGGTGAGGCTGCTGCCACACCATCTCAGTGAGCAGAGGGCAGTGGGCAGAGCTGCCCAGGCTGAGAGACTGAGGCACAGGGTGAGCGGGGACGGGGTGTGGGTGTGAGGGAGAGGAGTCCCGAGGGCCCTGGGACGTGGGTTCCCCCTGCGGAGATGGTGAGTGCCCCACAGATGGCCTTGGCCGCCCAGGGGAGACGTGGTGAGCCCCCTGAGGGCGCCCTGGGCAGCAGGGGTGAGGTGGGGTGGCTCAGGAGACAGCGTTCAAGGCCAGGAACAGGGGGTCGCTGGGGGAGGGAGTGCCAACAGGGCTGCAGGCGCAGAAGGGAATCGGCGCTTCCCTGGCGGCTGGCTGCGCAGGAGGGAAGAGGCGTCACACTGTGCAGTCAAGCCCTGTGAGCCCACTGTGCGCACCCGGCAGGAGGTCACTGCAGGGTCCCCAGGGCATCCTCGGTGCCCTCCACGCCACAGGCTGGCTGCCCGGCCAGCCCTGCCGTCCCAGGAGGACACCGGCCGCCCTCCCGCTCCCCTGCGCGCCACCACCAGGCCCCTGGGACCCAGCTTCCTGTCTATGTGCTCCCTGGCTCCTTGACTGGGTATGTCCTCACATTCAGCTTCCCTGCACACTGTGACCCCAAGAGATTGTCCCAGCAGGCCGTGGGCTGCGGGCCTGGAGACCCCGGAGCCCCCGGCCCCCCTGCCAGACCCCACTGCCTCCCTGCCAGACCCCGGCCCCCGGCCAGACCCCACTGCCTCCCTGCCAGACCCCACTGCCTCCAGTGCTTGGCGCCTCCCAACTGACCCACGTGGGACAGGCACCTGGGGCACTGGCGTCAGCAGGAGGGGGCGAGAAAGGCAGCACCCCACCCCCGCCTGGGATGCAGATCACCTACAGCGAACCCCGCCCTGTGCCCATGGCCCCAACACAGCCTGAGAGCCCCCCAGGGTTCCCCTTCTGCCCTCCCAGGTCGCCATGTGCCCTTGGCCCCAGCACAGCCTGAGAGCCCCCCGGGGTCCCCCTTCTGCCCTCCCAGGTCACCCTGTGCCCTTGGCCCCAGCACAGCCTGAGAGCCCCCCGGGGTCCCCCTTCTGCCCTCCCAGGTCGCCATGTGCCCTTGGCCCCAGCACAGCCTGAGAGCCCCCCGGGGTCCCCCTTCTGCCCTCCCAGGCCGCAGGGCACCGCGCAGGGAAGTCACGGGCTGCATCGAGTTGCCCCAAGAGAGACACGTGCAGTGGATCTGCAGCCCCGGCCTTTCCTCTGCTCTCCGTGGGGCGGAGTGAGCCAGGGCAGGGAATGGAATGTTACCTGCTCTATGCCAAGAATTGCCTGAACCCCAAAACTGGTGAAATGGTTTCTCCCAAAGAAAGCAGATCTCAGACAGGCACCTGGAGCCTGATCTGCCCGTCAGGTGTGTGGGTGACTGTGGGGGACAGCGTCGGTCACTTCTGAGCTCCGTTCTGCTCGGCCAGACCAGGGCTGGCATGTGGGGAGAAGCCCCTGGACCCCCACATTGCTCTGTGAGGGGTGTCTGACCTCCCACCGCGAGGCCTCAACGTCCTGCAGGACACACAGTTAATGTGGAGGTGAAATGGGGACAGGGAGAGGGTGAGGAGGCTGCGTGCTGTCAGAGGGACAGAGAGGGCTCGCTGAGCTGTGACTTCCCCAAGCCAGCTCGGCCTGTTGTGCCCGGCGGCTCACAGGAAGAGAGCCCAACAATGGCGCTTTGCCGCCATCCGCGTCTCTGAGCAGCCTCTGTGCGTCACGCCCACGAGAAAATGGACAAGAAATGAGAACTGGGCAGAGGGCAGGGATCATGCGTGACTGCCGTGGCTTTCCAGGCTGTGAAACGGCAAAAAGTGAGACTCGCAGTGGTGAGCTCTCATTGCTGTGCGTCACTCATGGTTAAAGAGCAGTTTCAGCTGCTACAAGTCGCTCACTGGAATTTCCAGATCAACGCTTCTAACAAGAATAGCTCCCTGGCCATTTCCACGGCCCGCCACCCGACAGCTGGGCGATGGGCACTCTGCTGCCCCTCACCTCCTCTGGGGCTGCGCTAGGGCAGCGTTCTCTTGCTCCGGGCATCCTGTGCCAGGTGGGCCTGCTGCGGCCGGGGCTGCAGAGCCTGGACAGGCGTGTGCAGAGTGGGACATGGCTGGAGCGGCTCGCGCTGCAAGCAGAGCGAGGAGAGAATCCTTCCTCCTCCCTGGGTGCAGGGCTGGCTGGCTGGCTAGAACCCAGAATACCTAAACTAACCTCACGCCCTTGCCTCTGACCTCGCCCAGGTTGACAACGGAGCCCTGCCAGCGGTGGTCAGCGGGTCTGCCTTCTCCAGCTCCACTCTCCCAGGACCCCCCAAAGGCGTCATGTCTGGGTAAGGACTTAGGGCCATCAACCGCCCCCCCGTTCATGTGCTCGGTTACGAGGGGTGGGCACAGCTGTGGCCTCTACAGGAAGTAGCTGCGCGCACGCCTTCCTGCCTTGTAAGATGCGTGTCACCTTGAGTCTGGCTGGTGGCAGCGTTAGCGTTCACGTGTGCCCGGTGCTGCTGGGAAGGCTGGCGTGTGTCTGTGGTCCGTGGCTGTGCCCAGGGAGTCAGGAGCCATGCTGGCTGGGCCATGTGATGGCACCTGGGTTCCAGCGGGGCTGACCTGCGGGTCTTTGCTCTCACCACTGTCACGAATACAGTGGCCAGCAGGCACACAGAGCGTGGCCTGTCACGAGTGGGCTGCCCATACACACTGCCTTCCCGCCCAGTAGGCCAGTGCTAGCGTGGGAGTGTATTCTGCAATTACACTTGGAGGCCGTGTGTGGGTGTGGCTGCTGTTACCTGGGACCTTGTCCTGTCGTTTTAAATTGTGTGTGTGCTTGCGACCCTGAAGCCACACTGGTTGCATCTGTTCATTAAATAGATTTGTACTGCTGGTGGTCTGGGCAGCCCGGTGCGGTCACTGCTCTCTGCAATGGATTGAATGGGTTTGTGCCTGCCCTCCTGAGCTGTTGGCCCACAGTGCCATGCGGGACCCAGGCCTGAACGGCCAGAGGGCAAGCGCCTGAGAAACTGCAAGCATGGCTTCTAGTGCTTTCCGGAGCTCCCCAGAGGGCACAGCTTCCCTCGGCCTGGACTGGGAAAGAGTTGTTTGGAAGGCAACAACAAACGGCTTTTAAGTGGATCCCGTGGTCGGATCCTAGGGTTCAGCTAACCTCTGTGTGCTGACCACAGGCGGGCAGTCGGTACACGTGTCCTGGGCCCCGTCCAGCTGTTGCCCTTTGTCTGGCTGCAGTGTGTGTCCACTCTGTTCTCAACTTGGGTCCCCCTGATGGAGTGAGACTCTACGGGGCCTCCTGTGTGCTGGGTCAGCAAGGAGGCAGCCTGCCATCGAATGTGGCTGTCACCGTTCCAGATGAAGCAGAAAGGACTTGGGAAACTCCCAGGGTCCCCTTTTTGCATTGTACCCACAAGAGACCTAGGATTTGTGACCCCCAAAGAAACTGTGTCTCCCTTGGGATGTGGGCCACCAGGTGACAGCGTGGCACTGCCCAGTGCCTCCCTGTGAGGCAGGGCAAGCTGGACCTGCAGGTGTCGGAAGCAAGGTAAGCCTGATGCGGGTACAGGTCAGCCTGGACTTCAGCTGAGTGGCAGAGCTGACCTGGTCACCATGCTGCCTCCTGGAAGATCATCTGACAGTGCCCTGGGCCAGCTCCCTCCCCGGCTTCTCCTCCCTCCCCACCCACTGTCAGGCCAGAGCGGCCCGCCCAGGTGGAGACTGCGCGGTGGAGGACCAGGTGGTAGGGCCTAGATGGACATGCCAAGCAGGGTTGGACTCCTGCGGATAGAAGACAAGCATCCCCAAGATGCGGGGCCAGGTGCATCCCCAAGACGCGGGGCCAGGTGCATCCCCAAGACGCGGGGCCAGGTGCACCTGGCCTTGCAAGGGAGCTGTCCCCTAGGAAGGGCTAACTGGCTGTATTACTTCTGAAGGGAAAGCTCTGCCATCCGCTCCCAAGCTTGGCCAGCAATCTGCCAGACCCTCCCATCAAGTTCTGGGGAGAATTTACCATTACTGGGCTGGGTGCGGTGGGGGCTGGTTATTGTGGGACAAGGGAGGGAGGCTCAGTGTGTGTCTCACGCTGGCTGGGGGAGAGGATCACTGTCCCCAGGGAAGGCAGGGCCGGGCTGGGCGCCTGAGGCTCTGCAGCCTTCCATCCCGGGCTTAACCAAGGACTGGCTGCCCTGAGGCTCCAGGTGAGAGCTGGCGGCCGCGAGGGAAGTGGCCCCTTGAACACCGCATAAAGGATGCTATCCTGCGAGTCCATTTACACACAGTCCTGTGACGTCGGGCATCTTAGTGGCTGTCAGCCCACTGCGATGCTGGTCACTCTGGAACTGGTCACCGCGCCTGTGTTCTGTCTGGAAAGGCCCCTGGTGGGTGTGTACCCCAGCACAGTCATCCTGGCGGACTCGAAGCCCACCTGGACCCTGTGCTGACACACACTGGGTCCTGGTGCCAGGCCCGTGGAGGAGTGGTGTCCTGTTCGCCATTAGCAGCCTCTGACTCCCCTCACCTGAGTCCTGCGTGGCGGCCTGGGGACACGTTCCTAGGGCACGTGTGTGCTAGTTTAGTGGGAGGTCTCCACTGGATAAAGGTCCAGAAGGCCATGGCAAAAGAGAAAAACTCATTACTGCGTTTTTACAAGGTCAAAGTGGTCCGCAGCCCTCAGGCACTCGGCCACAGTGATGACACTTGTCGCTGGGTACACCCCCTCCCTGTGCCACCTGCTGGAAACCCCCCACTGTGCCTGCGTGCACTTCCTTCAGTAAGTGTCCGCAGCGCTTCTGCCATGGTGGGAGAGGGGTTGCTGCTGCGCCCCCCAATGCAAGAGCTCTTAGCATGAGAAAAATCAGCCACAGATTTCAAGAAGTTGGGGCACCAAAACAGACTTTTCTTGTTATTGCATTTTTCCGCAAATGTCTGGAAGTCTCTTGCATGGCGGCTCAGCGATTGGGGTACCCCCGGTTCTTTGTCAGTGGTCCAACCATCCCCATCCTCAGCGGCTGTCAGGGAAGAGGTGAGGCCGCAGGACCAAGGCACGGGGTTTTATACAATTCAAGGAGTCAGGCAAGTTGTTACAACGTTTTGATTGGTTGTTACATGTTGTATGTCAGCAACACTTGCTTTCTCTTAGTTCTGAGAAACATGGTTTTTTTTTTTCTACATATTTATCAAGACACATTCTCTTCTTCTTTTTTTATCACTTTTACCATAACTTGGTTTTTATGACATGCTTACGTACGTTAGGGCTTTGTGGCAGGAGTGAGGCTGTGGTCAGCTTCATTGGATGGCCCAGGGGTGCTGAGGGAAAACAGTTCCCAGCAGGTGTTTCCAACCTCCACCTCCCACTGGGTGCTCTCCCAAAGTTCCGGAAGGCCGGGGACTGTGGCAGCTGTGGCATCTTCTGGGAAAATGTTCCAAACAACAGGAGCCTTGCTATGCTCTGCCAGTCACTGGAGAATGTCCTCATAGCTGATATGGCTGTGCTGCCATGGAGCGCTGGAGCTGCAGGAGGGCAAAGTGTGCCAGCCAGCTCCTAACTTGTGCAGGGTGCTCCTGGGCCCCACCGGGCCCTGCCTGGCCCTGCCTGGCCCTTTCTGGCCCTGCCTGGCCCTTCCTGGCCCTTTCTGGCCCCATCTGGCCCTTCCTGGTCCCACCTGGCCCTTCCTGGCCCTTCCTGGACATTCCTGGTCCTGCCTGGCCCTTCCTGGCCCTTCCTGGCCCCACCTGGCCCCGCCTGGCCCTTCCTGACCCTTCCTGGCCCCGCCTGGCCCCACCTGGACATTCCTGGCCCTTCCTGGTCCCGCCTGGCCCTTCCTAGCCCTTCCTGGCCCCGCCTGGCCCCACCTGGACATTCCTGGCCCTTCCTGGTCCCACCTGGCCCTTTCTAGCCCTTCCTGGTCCCTCCTGGCCCCGCCTGGCCCTTCCTGGGCCAGCCTGGGCCAGCCTGGGCCCCACCTCACCACACTCTTTCCTTTGCAGGTACTGTGACTGCTTTGCCAGTGGGGACTTTTGCAACAACTGCAGTTGCAATAATTGTTGCAACAATCTGCGCCATGAGCTGGAGAGGTTTAAAGCCATTAAGGTAACCTCTGGTCCTGAGCACATGCATTCTGAGTCATTCTGAAGTTCCTGAGATCCTAACGCTTGCCAGCGATTCCCAGTGTGTGCCTGAAGGGAGTGTGCCACACGTGGCCTGCCCCGACCGCACCGGAAGCTGCTCGGCGGAAGGTGCGGGAGTGGACGGCCATATCCCACAGTGGAGACGCAAGGGCTCCCAGGAGAAGGGAGGGGAAGTTAAGCCGGGTGTCGCCCTGCCCCAGGCACTTCCCGAGGGAGGTCGGGCATGGACTCGGGCATGAGGTGGAGATCTGGTGCCGTGGAGCGCAGCCGTGCTACGACCGACGGCCTTCGGGTTTCCTTCCATAATCTAACTCTCCTCTTGAATGACAGATGCACCAATTGCAAATGCGTTTCCAGTTCTGACGTGGTCCAGGATTGAAGGCCCGGGGCGCAGCCGAGCTTGGGGAGCTCTATCGGAGTTGGGGGCCAGGGTGCTGCTCTGTTATCGGCAGGGCCCAGTCTCCAACAGCCACTGGAGTCTGTGACTCAGCAAGTTAATTCTCCAAAGACGCTTGGAGTGTTCCTTACGGGGCTTTGTTCTTTTTTTAGATTTTTCTTATTTCTATTGGAAAGTCAGATTTACAGAGAGAAGGAGAGACAGAGAGGAAGATCTTCTGTCTGCTGGTTCACTCCCCAAGAGGTTGCAACGGCCGGAACTGAGCCGATCTGAAGCCAGGAGCCAGGAACTTCCTCCAGGTCTCCCACGCCGGTGCAGGGTCCCAAGGCTTTGGGCCGTCCTCGACTGCTTTCCCAGGACACAGGCAGGGAGCTGGATGGGAAGTGGAGCTGCCAGGATACAAACTAGTGCCCATATGGGATCCTGGTGCTTTCAGGGGAAGGATTAGCCAGTTGAGCCATCGCACTGTGCACCCCACCACACACACACACGCACGCACGCACACACACTGCGCACCCCACACACACACGCACGCACACACACTGCGCACCCCCCCACACACGCGCACACACACTGCGCACCCCCCACACACACACACGCACACACACTGCGCACCCACACACACACACGCACGCACACACACTGCGCACCCCCACACACACACACGCACGCACACACACTGCGCACCCCCACACACACACACGCACGCACACACACTGCGCACCCCCACACACGCACGCACGCGCGCACACACACTGCGCACCCCCACACACACGCACGCACACACACTGCGCACCCCCACACACGCACGCACGCGCGCACACACACTGCGCACCCCCACACACACGCACGCACACACACTGCGCACCCCCCCACACACACGCACGCATGCACGCACACACACTGCGCACCCCCCCACACACACGCACACACACTGCGCACCCCCCCACACATGCACGCACGCGCGCACACACACTGTGCACCCCACACACACACATGCACGCACGCACACACACTGCGCACCCCCCCACACACTGCGCACACACACTGCGCACCCCCACACACACGCGCGCGCACACACACTGCGCACCCCCACACACACACGCGCGCGCACACACACTGCGCACCCCCACACACACGCACGCACTGCGCACACACACACACTGCGCACACTCCCCCCACACACACACACGCACACAGCACCACACACACTGCGCGCACACACCCGCACCCACACACACGCGCACACACACTGCGCACCCCCACACACACACGCACGCGCACACACTGCGCACCCCCACACACACACGCACACACACTGCGCACCCCCACACACACACGCACTCGCACACACACTGCGCACCCCCACACACGCACACACACTGCGCACCCCCACACGCACGCACGCGCACTCAAGACTTGGACGAGGATATGCAGAGCGGGTTTTGTCATTGACAGACACCGTCTGTTTGGGACTATGATGAAGTGGTGCACATTGATGAAAAGACCCCACCATGTGAGTGGGCCTCACGCTGATCAGACAGCACTCGGGGCAGACACGAAGGGCACGCTGGGTGGGCACAGCCCCAGGGACCATAGGGCACACACAGGAGCCCCTGGGGCTGGACCATCCCCCAGCACGGCCTGGCTGCTGCCACCCAGGTGGGACAGGCTCCTCACACTGCCCCGGGCTGGACCTGTGTCACCTGGTAAGACCTCATATGACCCTGGCAGTGTGCCAGGGCTCTGGCCTCAGTGCTGGCACAGGTCCCCTCTGCTGGCCCCCGGCGGAGCAGCGAAGCAAGGCCTCCGTCACAGCGTCTGCGGTAAGAACTTTACGAGCCCAGGTCACTTTAATTCTAAAACACTTCTCTGTGTGTCCGTGAACGGACCGCAGGCCAGACTAAGGCTCAGGCACGTTGGGTGGGAGGGCCGGGCTCTGAAGGCAGCCTGCAGCCTGGCCGTCTGAACGCCACCCTCGGTGCCATCACCACACCCTGCCCCCGCCCATGCCCGTGTTTGCTCTTTGCGAGACGGCCGTGGCCGTGGCTGTGTCAAGCGCCCTGAATCCAGGAAGCCTCTTGGGTAGCTGCCTAGGATGCAATGTGTCCATCGGGCTCAGCCAGAGTGAGTCCAGCCCTGCTCCAAGGGAGGGCATCCATGGAGATATGGCTCTCCCCTCTGCTGCTCACCTCCTGTGTGATGGCAGGTGACTTTGGAACCCAGAAAAGAACAAGGTTTGGGGCCCAGCACCATAACCTAGCAGCTAAAGTCCTCACCTTGCATGACCAAGATCCCATATGGGCACTGGTTCTAATCCCAGTGGCCCTGCTTCCCATCCGGCTCCCTGCCTGTGGCCTAGGAAAGCAGTCAAGGACGGCCCAAAGCCTTGGGACCCTGCACCCGCGTGGGAGACTTGGAGGAAGAGCCTCCTGGCTCCTGGCTTTGGATTGGCTCAGCTCTGGCCATTGTGGTCACCTGGGGAGCGAATTCGCGGACAGAAGATCTTTCTTCTGTGACTCTCCTCCTCTCTGTATATCTGACTTTTCAATAAAAATAGTTTTTTTTTTATAAGAGCGAGGTTTAAAGGGCTCTGGCCACGATCCTGTGTAGAAACGACGTGGAACCAGCAGGAACATGTCCTCGGAGCCACGCGGGGACCGAGCCGAGATGCGCTGTGGTGGTCATGACCGATTCTTTCCTGTCGCAGGCGTGTCTCAATAGGAATCCAGAAGCTTTGCAGCCCCAAATCGGGAAAGGCAAGCTGGGAGACATCAGGCCTTGCCATAGCAAGGGCTGCCACTGCAAGTGGTCGGGCTGCCTCAAGAACTACTGCGAGTGCTACGAGGTCAGCGGGCGGGCCTGCGTCTGGTTAAGGCAGACAGCTGCTCAGCTTGGTCTGAACCGGCTGGCTTTGACCCAGCTGGGAATGCACTGTCCTCCCCACCCATCCTGTGTCCGGCAGAGGGCGCCCCTGCAGCCGCTGGGCCGCAGGCTGAGCCGGCCCTGAGTGAGGCGTGCCCCTTGCTCCCTGTCGCAGGCAGCGAGGGAAGGACAGTGCTGTCCCCAAGTCTGGCATCAGCTCAGAGCAGAAGCCCAGAGGTGCAGCCGCAGAGAGATGCCCGCCCCCGCTACCCACCCAGATGCAGCTCTCTGCTGGAGGAGAGGGGGCAGGGGCAGTGCCAAGAGGAAGCTGCAGCCATCGCGATGGGTGGTGCCCAGCCTGCCTGGGCAATGAGTTGGGCTAGGGACGAGCGGCCTCCGCCCTGCTCTCAGGGGCTACCCCCAGCTTCTTGACCAGGCTCTCCTTTCTTGTGTAAAGATGTTGTTATGACTTGGTTTGAAAAGCCAACAGCATGTTCCCATCAGCTGCCCGATGCCCCACCTGCTCACAGCGGCTGGGGCTAGCCTTGGCTGAGAGAGTCAGACCTGCATCTAGGTCTCCAGCATGCAAGGGCCCAGACACAGCCCGCTGCCCGCCCGGCTGTGGGGCCTGGACCAGGGCAGGGGCACAGCCCGCTGCCCGCCCGGCTGTGGGGCCTGGACCAGGGCAGGGGCACAGCCCGCTGCCCGCCCGGCTGTGGCGGTGGTCTGGACCCGATCCCACTGGAAAGTATACAGTGGAATGGACTGGCCTGGACCAGCCTCATGGCAGCTGGGCGTGCCTGTCCCAGACTTCCTTTTTCTTTGTTTATAAATTATAGATTTTACTTCTGTGCATATACATACAAGCAAGCATACGATTATTTCAGGCACCAGGAAGATTTTCCTCTCGTGGGTGTCTAGGGCACCCCTGCTTGACAAGTGTTTCCTGTGACCAGGCCAAGGTCATGTGCTCATCTGTTTGTAAATGCATTGGCTGCAAAAACTACGAAGAGAGCCCCGAACGGAAGACACTCCTGGGTATGCCACGTTGCGTGGAGGCTGGGGACGTGGAAGGCCACTGCTTGTCACCTGCCAAGTGTCCAGGCCCACCAGAATGCAGAAAAGAGAGGTGGGCAGGGGAGGTGGAGGCCGGCTGGGGGCTGCGTGCCACTCCCGGGGCGGGCAGGAGGGGTGCCCGCCGCAGAAACGGCCCTGGCTCTCTAGCCCCGCCAGGTTCCCACGTGGCCCTTGAGCTGCCCTGAGCCACCTTCCCTCCTGCAGCAGCCGGGGCAGGGAGGGGGTGATGCCCAGACGGAAGTCGCTGTGTGTGACTGTGGATGCCACAGCAGCTGCAGAGGGCTGTCCCCTGGAAGGCTTTCTGGGGTGTGTGTGTGCCTCAGATCCTATCCACTCACTCCCCAGATGCCAGTTCAGGAGCCAGGGACACCATCGCTGTGCCCGGTGGCCGGCAGGAGCCAGGGGCTTGCAGCATCGGCGCTGCCCCCAGGGTGTGCCTCGGCAGGAGCCGCAGCCATGGCCACAGCCAGAACGCGACCCCCACTGTCTGACAGCAGGCATGCGCAACATCCACCTCCCATTTATGCATTTTAAACACAGTGAGAACTGGTTGGTTATTTGAAAGGCAGAGTGACAGAGATCTCCCAGGCCATCAGTTCACTCCCCAGTGTCTTCAGCAGCTAGAGCTGAACCTGCCAACACCAGCAGCACAGAGTCCAGAGCCCAGAGCCAGGGGCCAGGGGCCTGGAGCCTGGAGCTCAGAGCCCGGAGCCAAGAACCTGGAGCCCAGAGCCAGGGCTAGAGGCCAGGGACCTGGAACCTGGAGCCCGGAGCCCAGAGCCAGGGCTCAGAGCCAGGGGCCAGGGGCCAGGGCCAGGGCTGCCTCAGGGTCTCCCCCATGGGTGCAGGATCTCCTGTGCTCAGAGCATCACGTGCCCCTTGCAGGCAGGCCTGCAGGAGCTGGGTAACAAGCACAGCAGCTAGGACTCTGCCCCAGGTTCTGCAGGATGGCGTGCGGGCACATCAAGCGGCTGCTTCACTTGCTGCCCCACATGGCCCGCCCCATTTCCTGGCGTGGGGGTGGTGTCACAATCCTGGGATTATACTTGCTCTGTGCACTGAAGGGCCCTTGATTCCAGTGTAATGGTGAAGGGCTGGCATCATTAACCAGCCAGCATCATGTCACCAACCCAAATCCACACTGCGTGCTGGGGGGACAGTGACCCCCTCGGCATCGTGTGCTTGAGGTCTCTGTCAGCACAGGTGCACTGACACCAGCCATATGCTGTCCTGGCACGCATGGGTGCTTCGACCGTGGCCGTGATGGCACCTGGGCATGGTCCACCTCCGACATAAGTAGCTTGTGATGGCCTCATAGACACAGCCAGCACTGGGCTCACGTTCTAGTCGTGTATGTGAGTATGTGTCTGTGTGTGAGACTAGGAGTGTGTAAGGATGTGTGTGAGTGTGGAATGTGTGTGTCTACAGATTGTGTATGTGTGGCGGTGTGTGGATGTGCCTGTGTGACTGTTCTCTATATAAAGATGTGTTTGCGTGTGTCTGAGTGTGTGAGAGCACGTGTGTGAGTGTAAACATGTGAGCATTGCGTGTGTGAGCATGTGGGTGGGCATGTGTGTCCGCGTGTGTGCGTGTAAACACGTGTGAGCATGTGGGTGGGCATGTGTGTCCGCGTGTGTGAGCATGTGGGTGGGCATGTGTGTCCACGTGTGTGAGCATGTGGGTGGGCATGTGTGTCCGCGTGTGTGAGCATGTGGGTGGGCATGTGTGTCCACGTGTGTGAGCATGTGGGTGGGTATGTGTGTCCATGTGTGTGAGCATGTGGGTGGGCATGTGTGTCCGCGTGTGTGAGCATGTGCGTGTGTTTCAGAGTTCCCCCGCTGACCGCCTCTTGGTCCTGCCTGGCTCAGCCACAGCTGCCCCTCGGCCTGGCCGGGCCAGAGCTCAGGGACTGGCAGGACCGAGGGGGGCTGCCGCCCCAACCGCTCACACTTCCCCAGACCTGGGCTGCACAGCCCTCTGCGGGACGGATTCCCAACCCTTCAGCCCCACAGGCCATAGCCCAGCGCCCTCGGGGCTGGCCGCTGGCTGATCCCAGGTCAGGACTGTGCTGGGGGGGGGCGAGAGGCCAAGACAGACCCCTGGCTCCCGCTGCCTGGGCCGCCGGGGTGGCCACACTGGCAGGCCACACCGAGTGACCCCCTGAAAGGAGCCCGTCCTAGACTTCTTGAACTTGAGCCACCTGCACCTGCCTCGGGAGGTGGTGAGGGGGCTGAGGGGGACAGGGGCTCGTGGAGGGCTGCAAGCCTGCCCTGAGCCGCCCCGCGCCCACAGGCAGCCCGCATCCTGCATCTCGTGGGAGGTGGTGGAGGCCACATGCGCCTGCCTGCTGGCCCAGGGCGAGGAGGCCGAGAAGGAGCAGCGCCCCCAGGGCTTGGCGGAGCAGCTCATCCTGGAGGAGTTCGGGAGGTGCTTGTCGCAGATCCTGCACATCGAGTTCAAGTCCAAGGGGCTGAACGTGGAGTGAGTGCACACGGCCGGGTGTGCCCGCCGGCCAGCTCGCCTGGGGACCCCGCAGCAGGCCAGTTTAGACCCCGCAGCAGGCCAGTTTAGACCCACGGCAGGCCAGCTTGCCAAGGTTTTCCAGGGGGACACAGGGCCGGTATGCAGCCCCCACAGAAGCTTGCAAACAAACCTCTTCCCCGCTCCCGTGCCTGGGGGGCTGAGGGCCTGGGGGTCGGGGGGCAGGATGCCAGCACTGCCTGCCCAGGCCCTGTGCACCGCATGGGGGAGGGGCTGCCCGCCTAATGACCTCAGCTGCCTTTCTGGTTTTTGTTTGCTGTTTTTGAAATTATTTAGAAATAAGTCCTCCAGCTGGGCTGTTAGGTTCAACATAGCACCCCTCAAGGCCTGCCCAGTGCCTGCCTGTCACCAGGCCATGGGGCACCGGCTGGCACCGGCTGGCACGGGCAGCGTTTGGAATTGCGGGACTGAAGTTTTGTTTCATTTTTTTATGTGATTGTATTTGAATTGTGGAAAAATACTGTCACCCCGTTCACTTCATTACTGTTATACTATTATCATTATCGCTTGTAAAATGCAGAAACAGTGGGTAAAGGCGGTTTTCAAGTTTTGCCTCTTGGTTTTGTCGTGCGAGGGCCACCAGCGTTTCTGACATCCTCAGCTGTAACTTAGAGGTGAGTGAGCTGCATTCGTATTGGGAATTCCAGCCTGAAGTGAGCACGGCAGCTTCTCCCCCACCCTCCCCTTGAGCCACCTGCAGGAGCCTGACGCCCACCTGGAATGCAGGCTGGGACAGGGACGGGTGGCCAGGGCAGGCTGAGGGGCCACGGTGTCCCTGCCTTCCGGGCTCAGACAGCTGCCCCTGGACCAGGGCCCCCGGCTGCCGCCACCTGCTTGAGAAAGAGGAAAGACGACCTGGGGATGGCAAGGAAGCCGAGTGCGAGGGGGCGTCCCGGGCTTGGACCCTGGGTGGGTGGTGTCCTGCACCCCGAGGTGGGAGTGGATGGGACACTCGAGCAGAGGGCACGCCGAAAGGAGAGCCCCAACGGGACGGACAAAGCTAAAGCGTCCAGCACCGAGTATCACAGGCGGGGGGAGGGAGAACAGGAGCCGGGGTCCCTTCAGCCAGGCCACCTGCCAGAGCCCGTCACCCCAGCTGCCGTCTGACAGGTGGGAGAAGCCCGTCTGGCTCCTCCTGCTTGCCCATTCTCTCCCCTCCTTGTGGAATGAACTTGAATGCTTGCCCACCACTCCCAAAGCCGCAGATCTGACCTCGTCCTTCCCTTGGCCAACAGATTTAAAGACTGGCCGGGGTCTGCCCCTGCTGTAAGTGGCTTCCCCGCTGGACAACACATGATCCGAGTGGTGGCTCAGCCGCAGGACAACCCACCTCCACCTTCCTGGGGGGCCCTGCGGCAGGGGCGGGGCCAAGCCCCAGCCTGACCCTGTGCAAGACAGAGGGAGGACAAGCGAGACAGCTGGGACCATTGCTGTTTTTATTTTGCCACTCAGAAAAAAAGAAATCTTAAATAGGGTAGCAGAGTTAAGTCGAGGTCAGGCAGGGTTTGCTCTCGCAAGCTGGGACCAGGAACCCATCGCCCAAGTTCACAGCGCAGACACGCATGCGCAGGGCAGCGTCCAGTCAGGACCACCCGGCGTCCTCTGACGATCCTGCCACGGGGAGGTCGGTCAGGCTGTCCAGGGCGCCAGCCTCTGCAGGGGGACAGTGGGGTCAACAGCCAGCCCCATGCACACAGCAGGCCCCGGGGCTCACTGCCCTCCCACAGCAGTCCTGGGCACGACTCTGCAAGTCCCACCTCAAGGACTGCACCCCGAATTCAGTGGGCGTTTTGAGCTCGGAAGAAGTGACTCCCACCAGATGGAAGCGCTTTTGTGTTAGAAAATTTGAATCAAAACATATGTCCCCGCAGGCCGCTGGGCACAGGCAGGGGAGAGGAGAAAGACATTCAAGTCTACACAGGCAGCGAGACTGACAGCATGAGGTCTCCGTGCCAGGACCCCAGCTGGCCTCATTGCTAACCCACTCCTGCTCACCAGGAAGCCGGCCTGTGGCCCCACTGCCCGAGGAGCTTGGGCTGTTGTCACCCCATCGCTAAGCCTATCCCCAGGGCGGCCAACTGTCCCCAGAGCCATCCTGACTCCCCTGGCAGGGGACAGTCCTGGGGCGGGCAGCGGGTGGTGGGCTGCTCCTGGATGCTGGCGGGGGCAGCTGCCGGCAGGTCACATACCTTTGAGGCGCAGGAACGTGAGGAAGTCCATGAGTGAGCGCACCGCGGCCTCGGACAGCGACGTGTCAGAAGCCCCTGCAAAGCAGCCCATGCTGGCTTACACAGCCCAAGGGCCACGGGTTGTGTGTCCTTGCCCTGGCCCAGCCTCAGCCCAGGGTACCCACGGCCTGGCCCCCTGCAGCCGGAGGGCTGTGGCTCCAGGCCCCCAGCGGATGGCCCGTGCCGCGAGGGAGACCAGAAGCCCTTGGCGCATCCTGGCCGGGTCCCAGCTTCTGCTGCAGCTGGGCAGGTGGGGCGGGCTCGGCCTTGGCCACAGGGGCGGCCAGTGCAGGTGCATACCCCTGGGAGACGCGCTCTCTCACCTGGCTTGAGGGGCTCTCCCGGTGGGAGTTCCCGCTTGCCAGCGAGGCCATGCTTGTCGTTAAAGGACCTGTGGTTGTCAATGGCGTCTGTGGACGGATGGGGGTGGGAAAGAGGGGGAAAGAGTCATCTGGACGCTGCCACCCCGCCCTTCCCAGGGCTGCTGGGAACCCACACACAACCGCACCCCAAAGGAGAGCCCAGGTCCCGAGGAGAGAGGATGAGTGGCCCGGCTGCGTGTGCCAGGGCCATGGGTGAGCGGTGGTTTACAGCATTCATGAGCAGGTACCCAAGACCACAGGAGGGGGCCCAGTGTCTGAGGACCCCACCGTGGGCAAGAGGAGGGCTCAGTCAGCCTGCAGTGCCCGGGCTGGAGCCAGCCCCACCAGCAGAGTGTCCCTGGTGCTGGCCACCTCCTGGTGCCATTCAGAGGTCCTAGGCAGGCAGCAAGCCGTGCAGGGGCAGGGAGCCACAGGCTCTGGGACATCCCAGACAAGCACAGTGACAAGCAGAGTCTGTAAGACAAGGTGATGAGGCCTCTCCCCCCATGGCCGAGCACCACAAGGACCCCAAACACAAATCCCCCAGGGGGCAGACGCCTGGCGACTGTCAGGTCCGCAGCCTGGCCAGCAGCTGTCCACTGCAGCCCGGCCACTCCCTCCCAAAGCTGAGTTATGGGGGTGGGGCAGGGGTTTCCAGGGTCAGGACAGAGGAGCTGGAAAAAGAAGCCAATTTCTTGGGTTCAGGGAGAGAGAGTGGGGTGCCGAAGCCCACACTGGCCACCCCAGGGGCACTGCTTCCTCCCTCTGGCTGCCATGTCCCCCTGCCATGTCCTCCGCGAGCAGGGCAGCTCAGGCGAGACCACTCACGTGGGCCCAGCAGGTAACCGGCGCTGTTCAGAGTCCAGCCTCTCTTCTCCTTGGCCTGAAAAGGAACAGAAGGGGATCGTAGTGGACACGAGCAGGAACCGCGCGCTGCGGGCGCACGGCCGTCCGGGGAAGACAGGTCCGCATCCGCAGAGCGCTCCCCGCTCGCGTCCCGCGCGCTCCGCGGGCTGCGGACCGACTCACCGGCAGCGGCAGCGCCCGCGTCGTCGGCAGCGCGGCGGCGAGGAGCAGGCAGGCGAGCAGGAGGGCGCCGGCCCGGGCCATCTGCAGGGGAGGACGAGGGGCGTCGGGCCGGGCGGGGGTGGGGACGGAGAGCGGGGCGCACGGGAGGGGACGGGGAGCCCGGACCGCCGGGGACGGCCAGGGAGCGCGGGCACCTTGAGCGCCTGTCGCGGGCTGCTGGGGGCCGGTCGGCGCAGACGGCGAGTGCAGGCTGTCCGGCGGCGTCCAGGCGGGTCCCCGAGGGCGCGGGCAGCGGGCGGCCGGGCTCCCCCGACGTGCTCTGCCGGAGCCGCCGCCGCAGCTGCTCTTTATCCGCGCCTGCCGGGGAGGCGCGGCCGCGTCACGGGGTGCAGCGCCGCCCAGCGCCCCCGCCAGCCCGCGTCCGGGGCGGGAGAGGCCGCCACTCGGGTCTTGCAGGCGGCGTCGGGGTCCTGCGTTAGGCTAGTGGGGGGACAGAGGAAGGTCCCCGTCCCTGCGGGAGAGAGCCCCCATCCGCGTGTCCCTAGCCCGAGCCCCCAGCCCCACGGGGCGGAGCGCGCAGACCACCAGAGGGCAGCAGGTTCAGAGCCCACCCTCCTCCGGCAGGGGCAGTGGAGACCCTCCCCAACCCATCCCTGCATGTGTAGAGGCCCCACCCCCCAGCAGACCCTGGCCACTGCCAGTGGGCAGCCAGGAAGGTGCAGGTGTGGGTTATGGGAGGGGCGGAAGGATGCTGGGCTGGCATGGCTCAGAGAGGGATCCTGGAACAGACTTGGTCACATGGGGTGTCCCACAGGTGGGATTTGGCTGTGGTCACTCCTGTTTCTGACAGCCTGGGAGGGAGAGAGAGGCAGAGGCTGTGGCCGCGGTGGGCTTGGCTGGAGGACAGGAAATCCAGCATGTAGCTCTAGCAAGCAGGGACAGCGTTTGGAGAAGGTGCCAGGATGCCCTAGCAGGCAGCAGCACCTGAGTCACTGCCCCCCCCAGCGGGGCTGCCCACTGTTCCCAAGGCTAGCCGCGCAGGGCACGTAGGAGCCAAGCAAGGCAGCCCACAGGGACCCTCCCTCCCCCGGTCAGTCGTGAATGAGGACAGACTGGCCGGGGAGCCGGCACCTGCTTCGGGACACAGGCTGTGCCGGCAGCCACGGCCAGGCTTCTAATGGGTTCCTCGCTCAGCTGTGACCCAAAGAGAGCCATTGTCAACTTGTCACAGATGGCACAGTGAGTGGCAGGCGAAATGGCTCCCCATTAGGGTAATGCAGCCGGCAGCATCTTACCCCACTGCCTCACAGCCTGGCTCAGCTCCGCTCAGCAACTCCACCCACCGCCCAGCAGGAGACATCGCAGCGGTCAGGGCACAGAGCACTCAGCCCTGAGCCCCCGTGGGCTCCGGCAGCAACCATGAGCCATAGACAGCCTGGTTCTCAGGCCAAGGAGAGGGCGGCACCCACCAGGAGAAACCAAGGGGCCACGCTGAGGGCAGGCGGCCCGCCAAGGGTCGGGCTGTTCATCCACTAAGGGAATCTCGTGAACAGGTTCCGAGGGGGACATGAAGCGCCTGCTGGGTGTCCACAGGAAGCCACGGTGCCTTTCCTGGGGGCCCCTGCAAGGAGGAAGGATGAGAGAGGCAAAGGGCGCAATGGGGCTCGGCTACGGACAGCCCCACCAACACCAGCCCCTGCTGCATCTTCTGCAGGTGCCAGCTCAAGTTGCTCAAGTTGTTAGCAAGTGGAGCAGTGGTGAGAGTGGTGCAACAGTCAGGGTTGGGCAGAACCAGGAGTCAGGGGGCTCCATCCGGGTCTGCCCTGTGGGAACAAGGCCCCAAGCACTGAATACTGAGTATAAGCACTGGGTACTCAGCCTCCCTGGGCTCATTAGCAGAGAATTGAATTGCAAGTGGGGCAGCCAAGACTTAGGACTGGCATCTGCATGGAAAGCTGGCATGCTGGTAGCAGCTTAACCGACTGCAACTCAACAGGCGCCCCACCATGAGGTTGACTCCCAGCTCGGCTATATGAGCCCCCGCAGTGGCTGGGGGCTCCCGGCCACTGGCCCCCAGGACTGTCCCTCTGTCGGAGCTGCCACGCAGCCATAGCTCCAAGTGGACAGTGTTCCTTGCTGTGACGCTGCAGCCTCGGCCACCTGCCAGTGCTGGACTCCTGGCCTGCAGCCACCTTGTCTCCTGGTGGGAGCCCTCTCCTCTTTCAGCCACCACTGCCCCCTCCTCCCGTTCCCCAGCCTACCCCCTGTCCCCAGCCCACCACATCCCTGGGCCTGGGTGACCCACTGCAGCCCTGGGTGACCCACCGCCTGGTGTCTGCTGGAAATTGGTGGCCAGGAAGGGGGTCTGGCTGGGCTGATGGCCCCGGGGCAGATGGCCCCCCGCTGGGGAGGGCTAAGCAGGGGCTGGTGACTCAGCTGCAGGCCCTGGGCAGGGGCACCTGTTTCCTGACCCACAGCAGGCCCAGCGGCAGCACCCACAGGCCATATGGGAGCCCATCTGGCCAGGGGGCTGGGGCTGTGGGAGGTGGCTGGCAGCACTGTGCTGGCACCCGCCCTCCCTTCGGGGACGGGAACATGGACGGACGGTGAGCAGCACCAGCTCATAGCAGCCTCCAGCGGCCGAATGGCCCATGCCATGCTCACAGGCACACGTGTGGCTCGTGTGGCAGTGTGGACCACCCACGCCCAGCTCCCGGGGGTCTCCAGTGGCTGACCCTGTAGGTGCAGCCTCAGCTTGCCGCTGCCTGACCGGTGAGCCCCGGGGTTAGTACCCATCACTGGCAGAGAAGTGCTGCCAGGTAAGCTGCTGCCCGCCTGCAGGCAGGCCCCGAGGGGCAGGCTGCCCAGCCCCTGGCCAGTTCCCTGAGCGGTGGGCATGGGCTGATGGGGCTTCACCTCTTCCCTACTGTGTGATCTGGAAGCTGTGCAAACCTCTGCACTTCCTCTCTGGTCACAGGGAGTGGAGCAGCGCAGGGCTCGGTGACCGGCAGCTGGTGAGCTGGAAAGTTGAGGATTCCAGGTGGGGGGGCGCCTGCCTTGGCCCTCCCCGCTTTGTCTGGCTATTTTAAATGTTTATTGTTGAAGCTTCTGTTATTTGCAAGAAGACAGGTACGTATAAACACCGAGTGAAAATCGCCTATAATCAATTTTTTTAAAGTTCTTTTTTTTTTTTTTTTTTAATTTAAAAGGCAGAGAGAAAGAGAGAGATCCTCCATCTGCTGATTCACTCCCCAGATGGCTGCAAGGCCAGTCAGGAGCCAGGAGCTTCCTCCAGGTCTCCCACACAGGTGCAGGGTCCCAAGGCTTTGGGCCGTCCTCTGCTACTTTCCCAGGACACAAGCAGGGAGCTGGGTGGGAAGTGGAGCAGTCGGGACACAAACCAGCGTCATTTGGGATGCTGATGGCGCAGCACAGGCTTAGCGTACTACATGCAAGCTGGCCCTGTACCACACATCCCAAAATGTGTTTTAAGGGGCCAGTGGGCTGGGCCAGGTGCCCACACCCGGATGGGACCGACCCCGGCCAGGTGTCAGCACCCAGGGAGAGGCAGGGCATCTGCATGAGGCTGCTGCGTCTGGGAGAAGGTCCAGGAAGGTGGGCTTAGGACTGCCAGGCTGCAGGTGCTCTGTGGGTGGGAGGAGGGGTCTCAGGGTCTTTGCCCACCCCAGAGGCCAGTTACTGTCGCCTCCAGGCTCCTGTCAAGGAGGATGTGACACGCCCTCCAGGTCAGCACCTTCGGGTGAAGCATGGAAACTGCTACCTGGGCCTGGGGACTTGGCCTCAGGTGGGGGTGGCTGCGCCCGGCCCATCAGCCGCCAGGAGATGAAAGGCCTCGGGCTGGCCAGCCAGGAGGGCCGGCTTTCATGTCCTGGCGCCACAGATGAAGGTCTATGCCAGCAACGCCTCTTTCATCTGCCGGCTGGCCTGAGCCGGAGGGGTCGGGAGCTGCGCTGTGAGCTGTTCTCCCCCACTGCCGCCCCCGGGGTCCAGCACAGGGCAGCACAGTGCGCCCGCTGCCCCCATCTACCCGCAGGAAGAGTACTCCGACCCCAAGCAGGCTGGGAGGCCTCCCAGCCCGCCCCCACCCTGGATTCCAACGGAACGACACAGGCAGGAGCTGGGACCAGGGGTCAGCCCGGGTCTGTGGGCAGCAGGGGTCAGACTGGGCACCCAAAGACAAAAGCAGCTCCTGGCTGCTCCCCGCATCCCACCCGGGCAGGTGCAGGTGCCCACTGCTGGTGGCATGGGTCCCCCAAGCCCACCCGCCGCCCTGGTTATGGTAGATCCCCACTCTACCTCATGTCCCTTGCTCCCCCCACGAACAGCCCCCCATGGGAGACAATGACGCTGCTTCCCCATTTTGGCTTTGACACACGCAAGGCCGTCGCCTCCTGAGAGCGGCCATTGGTTCTACGGTTAACACATTTACCAAGACCTTCAGATAATTGAGTCCCACTTAAAATCTCATAACTGTGACAGCAAAGAGAGAGAGAGCATTTATTTTCTGCTTAGGACAAGAACAGTGGCGTCATCGGCCCCCTCACAGAGACGCGCTTCCAGCTCAGCTCAGTGGTTCCCTCCCCCGGGCCCAGGTCTGTGGATGCAGCAGGTGCCCCAGCCTGGGCGGGTCTGGGACATGGGGGGCAGGTGGGGGTTCCTGAGGTACCAGTGCCTGACAGCAGCTCTGGGGGCATCACCGGGCCCGTCTGGGGGTATCCCCACTTGAGGAGACTTTGCTGTCCATTTGGCAGAGTGAGTCCCGGGCAGGGGAGCTGGGCGGCCCCCCCCACCCCGGCCTGGGGCGGCCCCCACCCCCCGACCCCAGCCTGGGGGTGCCCCCCCCCCAACCCTGGCCTGGGTGACTTTCAGAATTGCAGAGAGATTGTGGTCTGTTGGCTCACACCCTGAATGGCCATGACAAAAGCGAGGAGTTGGATGGGAAGTAAAGCAGCCGGGACTCCACGCCCGGCTACACCTGCTGCGGGTTAGGCAATGCCGGATTGCTGGCGGGCACAGGTGCCCCGAGGCAGGCAGCCTCTGCCCACCTGGGTGTCCCCAGG